TACCAAGTAGAAGCGGTCCTAGACCACAGGATAATCAAACGAGGCAGGGGCCAGAGAGAGGAGTACCTTATTAGATGGGCTGGTTATACAGCCGCAGACGACCAATGGGTGCCAAAACATGATGTAGGGCTATCGTTAATCGAGGCATATCACAGGAAGCAAGCACAAGGAAGCAAGGATGGGACAACGTAATGGTATTGGCCTTGGTGGCATTGCTGTATACGCGCTGGGCAGCGTGAAGGGCGCTGATGGCCTGGACAGTAGCCTCAGAATCAGCAGCAAGGCCAGCATCTTCGTCGTCGGCCCAACAGTTCAGGAGAGCGTCGGCCGCAAGCTGGAGGGCCTCCAACTCGGCGCCAAGCTGGGCAGCAGCCTACCCAACCATTAGTACAAACAAACAATGAGGAGGGAGTCCCTTACTGGAACGCACGCGTGGTTGCCCCGAAGGCAGTCTGCACACTTGGCCATGCCGGAAGGGACCCAGCACATCTGGCCTGGGAAGTTGTAATACGTGTGCGCACACTTCATGCAGCACGGGCAGGAGCCAGCGCGAAGGCGTCCTGCAGAATCAGGAACCTCACAGCGGGCAGCGACCTTCCACCCAAGCACAGTGCGCTCATCCTTTGGAGCCTCAGACTCAGGAACGACGGAGCCTTCGAGATCCTCAGCTTCGTCCTCAACTTCAGGCGAACGATACGGACGGATAGTGCGAGAACGTGATGTGGAGGAGGTGACAACAGATGGAACAGGCGTGGCGGGCGCCTGCGACTCGGGAGAGCTGGACATCTGGGCCACTGGTCGCTTGCGAGGTGTAGTAACTGGAGCCTTCCCCTTCGGCTTGGGAGCCATGATGAGGGTTGGATGATGTCAGATCTATCCGTAACGATAAGCTCCTGCAATCCAGGTGGAAAGGAAGTGATTACCTTAAAGAAACAAGCAACTGTGTAGGCCCCAAAGGTTGGGACTAAGATCGAGGGCGAAAGGCGAAGTAAGGTGATGTTGAGGATGAAGGTGGCAGGAAGTTCGATAGGAAGTTTGGAAGGAAGTAGGAGTTTGGCGTGAGACCCATAACAAAGGGGGTGGCCGCGGCAACCCACAACCAAGGGGGGTCACGGGACCAGCACACCAAGCACACACCCAAACATGTCCACCACCCGGGTCAAAACAAAAAGTCTAAACAAGCCAGGAGGGCAAGTAAGCCCTAGCTGCGAAACCTTGGAATTGAGGGCAATCCCTCTAAGAGGGGAGGTAATTGTAAGGAAGGCCATCACGTGCCACCACGTGAGGTCCCTTTTATAAGCGGCCCATAGGGCTCGGTAAAATAGGGCACAAGGTGCATAGATAAAAGGGGTTGGAGGCCTCAGAAGAAGGCCTCCAGTCAATAGTCGATGTATCTACGTAGACCTATTGTGCTTACAGAATACGATACCTTCCTGCCTCCTGACCTGGTTCCCTGGACTCCCGTGAGACCTTAGGCTTACGCTTTACAGACTCGCACTCTCATATGCTATTACTGTGAGCTGGGTGCCCTGTGTCCTTACAGGTTTTTGGGATTCAAGATATGATTTGAGTAAAACACCTTAGTTGTTTAGAAGTTCTAATAAACCAAATTGGAAGTTTATCACCCCCATCTTTATTATAGCAGAGGTTAACGTGGTTTATCACCAAGTCAATCATATCACCAAGTCAATCACTTCTCTACTACCCAACAACGTTGAAATACAATTAAACCACCATAACATATAATATTTATTAAAACTACTTAGAATCTGATGAACTAGACATATTTACACCTTTGGGACAAGTTGGTGCATAATGGCCAGTCTTTTCGTAAGTGCCATAGTGTTGTGTAGTCAAATGCCCCTTATTTTAACCGACCCTTCTAGAGCGCTTGTTACATTAAATCTGCTCCTCTACCTCCTTCTAAGCTAAAATATCATGCACATCCTCTATAGTAAGGGCGCCTCCTTAATGCACCTGAGACTTTTTAGCCCTATGGCATTTGCTAAGGGCTTCATTTGCCTTTATTACCATACAAAATTCGCATGATTGTAGGAAGGGGTCTAGTATTAGGAGGTTTCTGCTACAGCTGAGTCTGCTATAGGCAGTAATTAATCGTTAGGACTGCCTGTTTGCTTCGCTCATAGTCAGAGTAAGCGAGTGTCCCCTAGTAAGCAAGTGTCCCCTCTCAGGGCAAAATAAGTAGGTATCTTCACATAGAAAATTATATAGAAAGGTACTTCTTCTCATTTGTTCTACAACGTGAAAACTACACTCTCCTCATCACTTTCATCAGAACCATCATCTCCTACCATATCTACTACCTCTATTTGCCCAACTACCCCTTCTGCTTCTACCGTTGCTTGTGCCTTTGGGAGTCAAGAGCTCAATTGGTATAAACTCTTTTACTCTAAGAAGCTGTGCAACCTCCTTCTTTTGCTCTCGCTCTCTCTTCTGTCCTTTAATCCCAGCTTGATGTAAAGTCTTCTTTGCTTATGATGCTTCTTCTGCTTTGCTATTTTAGCAACTTGCTCCTCTTGCTTGTTAACCTCCTTTTGTGCCTTTTGATGAATCCTAGCATATGCATGAGCTGTAGTTAAAGCACCCCTAAATTGAAGTTTACGACCTTGAACTTGTCCTTATAGCATAGAATAATCAAATTCTCATATTTGAGCATCTGCTAATACTCCCTCTATCTCTTGCAATGAAGTATGAAATTGCTGTTTTAACGGGCTACAATGGAGTAAACATACCTTTTCATACTTGAAGTTGAAGAATCCATTGTGAAATTGATAGGAGCTTGTTCGATCTACTATAATGAATTGTGCTTTTCCGAGTAATTGATCGTCGTAAGGTATTAGGATGCACTTTGAAGATCATAGCTGTAACTGAAGTTGTTTCATTTGGGTTTTGAAGGAGTCATTCTTTTGCCTCACGTAGAGCAGCTTTCTAATTAGACATTATTCGTAGTGGAGTGGTGGGTGGTAGGTGGTTGGTGGTTGGTATGTGGTGAATTTTGAGAGGGGAGGCTCGCTTCCTCCGACTGTGAGCGAAGCGAACAGGCGGTCCCGACGATTGCTGTATGTCGTATAGCAACGGAACGAAATGACGCTCAGTAGACGACCTTAGACGTAGGCTCACTCTAATGCTGTACAGTCATCGATCTCAGTATAATTCCTAGCCTCTAATAATTGCCAGTTTTCTTTAGTGTCGGCTCCCCATTCGTGCTTCACCGTTCAAGGCATCTCGGCAACGTCACCTCCAAATCCGTCTTCCGCACAGGCTTCGACATATAATTAACGGCGTTGCCGAAGGTGAATGCTAGAGACGGCAGAGGAGGGCTGGCGGGATGGATTGCGATGGTGGTTAGAGAGGATGTTGCTGGTCTGGTCGGCACACAAGCGAGTGACGCGTGGCTCCCGTACTGGTCTTCTGGTTACCGTATAAGCGCACTCCACCGACCGATACCGCATGCAGGTAGTCGGTCGGGCTGAATGCAAGGGTTAGGTAATCACCGATCACCCCACTTTTTACACTAAGCGTGCCTTGGCAATTCACCTTCGCCACAATCCTTTAAATGAGCTGGTCGATAAGCTCTTATGGGTGTGGGTGGTATGCCGTTTAAGCGAGCCTTGGCAATTCATCTTGAGTTTATCCTAGCGTTCCCCCTGACCTGTAACTTATCCTCGCACGCATGTCGCCGAACCAGCGTCGGAACACCTAATATTCCTCCCAGTTACCCCTGTTTCTACCCTTATAAACACAGCTAGTGTTTGTTAAACCCCTGATTTGGACGAGTCAGGGTGACGTGCAAGTCAGGAGTTTTCAATACCCCAACGCAACTGTCTCCTTCTGGTCTGGCGTGCTGCCATCATGTAAAAACTTCCGGCCAATGGCAATCACCACGGCCCCCCACACGCTGATGTTGAACTTTAGCCCTATCCACTCGACAGACCCACGTTGGATAACCTCCCCGACGTTCATGCTTGCCGGGGTCGTCTCAACCTCCCGTCCTCGCCTGACGCTTGGCTCTTGTGGTCGGAACCACTCCCGGGCTGGCCTCTGGGCTTCTTGTCGTCCATGCTATCCTCGTCTTCTATTAGGCCCGTCCCCCATACAAACGTTTTTAAAATCAATGGAATTGGTTGTCCATTATCTCGATACACTCCCAAAATGGCCGAATCAACCACAAATAATACACCAACCATTCCCTAAACCGAGGCCGTCCAGAACGCTGAAAACTGCGCCCTAGTATACTCTGTTAAATAGAAGCCTAGCTCATTCGGGACAAATTTCGTTGTCTCATCTTATGGATGACGGGCGTCGTCCCGACTCTGTTTTATTCACAGGGGATATAAGGACTGTAGTAGCGCATGCCGGAAGACAGACCATAGGCGGAAGGTGTAATACTGTGGCTGCCTTCTCGCGTAGAACATAGCCTATAAGCTTCCAGTGCCTGACCAGGTGCCCAGGGGACGACTTACGTTTTGAGTTTGTATGGAAAAAGCACAGACCCGTACGGGAACTTACGGCGCCATACCCTACATACTGGGTACTCTCATAGTATACAGCAGATCGGTTAGAAATCGACCCATCCACAAAACTCCCGAGTGCTGCAGTAGTGGCCATCAAAGGATTGCTGCCCATGCTGATCAACCTTGTTCTAACACCCTGCTGGATCGCAGTGGGTCTTAAACAGTGGGAGTCCCTGATTGCGTGCCGTAGTAGTGACCATCAAAGAATTTCTGCCCGTGCTGATCAACCTTGTTTAACACCCTGCTGGATCTTAGTGGGCCTTAGACTCTGGGAATTGGCTTGGGCTGCCACTGCTTCTATCAAAATGTTGGATCAGGAGCAGTATAAATGACTGATAATGATACGATCGACGACAAACCCACAACAAGGGCCACAGAAAAGGGCCAGAAAGTGCTGGAAGTATCCAAACCATCCACGTTATTCGTTATAAGGTTCTCATTTGTGAAACATTTTTTCTTTCTAGCTGCCTTGTTTTATCATTCGTATCTAAAGACAGAACCATCATATGGTGGGAAAATAAATAGGTAGACATATATAGAGGTACTGCATCGGAATGTTCTAAATATTTTAGAATACTATTTATGAAATAACTCTACTATATCTGGTGGTCGTTGTCAATACCGCGGGCATAATACGCAGGCCATACGCCGGAAATTACCACTATGCCGGCCGATACAGGAGACAAAAGATCTGTATCTCAGCACCCCATCGCAGCAGAACCTCCATCACCTGTATCTTCCATACGCCTTCACTGCAACCTGTCGACAGATACCTCTCGGAGCACAAGCAGTAACAACCTATCACACTGCTCAACGCTTAGTAACAACTTTAATGCTCAAACCATCGAATCCTTTCCTGACATTTCCAACCTGCAAAGCTCAAAGGGGACTTGCATCAATCTCATACCTCGATGCCTGAATGGGAATGAGACTCCTCTATATCTTGACTCAGGGGTAACAACTCCGGTATGCAATCCGATATGTAGTGGCAAGAATAGCATCGGAAGCCTAGGACAGCAAATACAGGAGGAACTACACGCCGAACCACCATACCATGTCTTCTCACACAAGAAGAAGAAGATGCTTATGTATCTTGCCGCCAGTGCTGGCATGTTTTCATCGCTTTCTGCCAACATATACTTCCCTGCCCTGGGTCAGATATCAAGAGTATGTCCAAACCTATGCCAATACTCTTTAATGCACAAGTGCTGACATACACTGGATAGGATATTAAAGTCGGTCTGCCATTACTAAGTCTTACCATTACTGTGTATATGGTTGCGCAAGCCTTTGCACCATCCTTTTGGGGACCGCTATCAGATACCCGAGGAAGGCGAATTACATTTATTGGTGAGTAGGATACCGGCAAGCCATAAGGGGCTTTATTAATTTAAACCAGGCACATTTGGTGTATATATTTTCGCCAACCTAGGCCTTGCTCTCAGTACTGGCTTTGTGCCCCTCATGGTGCTTCGTGCTATGCAAGCAACTGGCAGTTCTGCCACTATATCAATTGGTAGCAGGGTTATCCTCTCCTGTTTCGTGATATGTACTGACATCGATAGGCCAGGGACTAATTGCCGACATTGCCACCCCCAAGGAACGCGGATCATTTACAGGAACCAACCAAGGGAGTGAGTAACCCTTTATGATCTAGCCTAATCTGTGCTAACTAAAACAGTCCGTATGTTTGGGCAGGCAATCGGTCCAGTATTGGGAGGTATTATTGCGCAGTACCTTGGGTACCACGCCATCTTCTGGGTCCTCTTCGGAGGGGGGCTCTTCGCAGTTAGTATTCTCGCTGTCTTCTTGCCCGAGACCCTCCGGTCCATCGCCGGCAATGGCACCTCTTGCTTAAAGGGCATCCATCGACCTATATACTATACGTTCACACAGTCGGAGGAGCATCTCATTGAGCGAGAACTTCCCCCGAAGAAGAAATTGACGCTGTCGATGACCTTCGGGCCCTTCAAGCTCCTCCTCGAAAAGGACATGTTGAGCGTTATTGTATTTGGCGCCATGGTCTATACGGTGTGGAGCATGGTAACCTCAAGCACCACCGCGCTCTTCCAAGACCGCTTCAACCTCTCAGACTTGCAGGTTGGCCTAGTCTTCCTCCCCAACGGAATCGCATCCATACTGGGATCCTATCTTACTGGAAAACTTTCTAAGCACGATTGGGCTGTGATGGAAGCGCAATACCGAGAGACCAAGAACATCCCTGATGATCAGCCCCTCAATAAGAAGGAGCTCGTCGACTTTCCTTTCGCCCAAGCACGCATGCGTTCTATTTGGTGGATGATATTAATATTCATTGTTTCCACCGCGCTTTACGGCTTCTCGCTCAACTTAAACCTCATGGCGGTCTCCCTCATACTTCAGTTCATGATCTCGTACACCGCGAACTCCATCTTTGCCCTAAACTCTACACTTGTTGTTGACCTTTTTCCCCACGTCTCAGCTAGCGCCACCGCAGTCAATAACCTCGTGCGCTGTCTCATGGGCGCAGGCGGCGTTGCCGTCGTGCAACTCATGATAGACGCAATCGCCTCTGGTCCGACTTTTGCCATCTGGTCTGGCGTTACTGCTGCGCTAACGCCCCTTCTTGTCCTCCAGTGGCGGAATGGCCAGCGGTGGCAAATAGAGCGCAAAGACCGCGTTGCTGCTCACAAGGCACTCAAGAGAACAGCGGATGTGGAGAAGACTGTGATTTAGGAGATTGAGGAGCCCAGTTCATATAAAAATATATGTCTCCATTCGTTTGGTGCATATTTGCATAGACATTCGATATTTTCTTGCGTTATCTCATATCTCGGTTTGCATGGCGGGCTAGACCTACAACGTTTTAGATTCGGTTTTGGAAAGAAAAGTTTGGTTTACATTAACAGAGATATCCTGTTACTTATGACTTTACGTTGATGATTAAGGATATAGCCAGGAACAATCCTAGTGTTATTATACCTTTGACTCCCTCGCGTCGTCTAGAGCCAACCATACCTATCTTAAAATGATTGTACCTGCTGCACGTGCACGAGCAAGACCCTGATATTTGTTCCGTAGCGCAGTGCCCATGGCAACATCCCATAGCCCTATGAAGCCGAGGCAAGCTAATCGCTGGCAAATGAGAACTCCGTAACCATGTTGGAATGGCTAGAGACCGATTCGTTGTTTTAGTATTCAAGTGCACGAGAAAGAGGGCACAGCCGAATGCAGGGAGATTCTCGTCCAAGAAGAATGAGAGGCACATTATTTCGCTTATTCAGCTTCGTAATTCATACTGTAGATAGGATGGCTAGGGAAGAGGGGTAGGCAGAGACTTGGGTTATTAGGTACTATAAGGGCAGGGGCAATAGGGGCGCTTAGAGTGAGCATTCGCCATAGTAACACTGTACAGCATAAGGGGCGTGTTAGAACTACGTTCCTAGAAGTCACAGTGTAGTCTGTATACCGCTAGGCGGTATATATATGGCTTTGCACCCGTAGTTTACTCAATTAAGTCGTCAAACTCCAAATTTGTGCTCAACACACGGGACTAGAACAGTTTTCACAGGACTACTTGAACATTTTTCACATGGTTTAGATAGATTGGCAATTACTATAATTATTACTATATGTCTGTATTACGCCACGACTCTAGAATTTCTTGACCAGACCGTGACTTGTTACGGACTTGACTTAATTCGGTTGTCTCCGTTGTCCCCTGAGAAAGGGCTTATCAGGTTTTGTTTACGGCTGCGAAGGGGAGGGATGGGATCCCGATGTGGGTTTCCGAGAGGAAGGGGTGAGTGCTGAGGGTCATCTCATGAGCTGATTTGTCTGTTATTGCTCGATTCCGCGTTAGTGAACAGTCAAGACATGTTCTTAAGAATGTTATGGAACACTAGGCAGGAGGAAGCATGGAAAAGCGGGGTATAAAACGCCCGCTTCGTGCTTCCACAGTGATATCTGCCGAGAGGGGACGTGCGGGATGTAGCTGTGCCAAACCTGATCTCCATATTAGGAGTCATAAGCCATGTAATCTCGGCCGGCTTGGCGTCTGATCAGAGGATACGACGCTTACCCCCACCTGCCTCTCTCGACAAATGTGGCCGAATTTAAAAACGATATCTTATCAGATCCCTAGTGAGCACGTTGTGGCTACCAAGGAGCTAAGGGTACGGCAAATCTTATCAGATGCTTAGATAATGATCATTATTGGTTGCCAAGCACCTAAAAGCGGGGTTAATCTTACCAGATGAATTTTATGGGTTTTAACGGTGTCGGCATTTCTCACTTCCCACATTCATGACATAAATCAATGGGGGGATCCATTTCGAAGGTAGATAAAACATAGATTTGACATAATTGCCGAAGAATAGACCAGAAAATTTAGATCCAAACGTTCCGATATCGTCCGTCTTTCCTAGGGAGTATGTATTTAGATCTGATTAGATCTTCTCGTATTGATCTTCATTACCTACCCCTCCATCTCTGCTTCACCTAACCCTCCATTCCCGCTCCATTGGGTATCTATTCGGCCTTAACATCATGGTGAAGCTAATACCCGCGGATGCGGCCACGGTAGATCAAACACCCGGAACTCCGGACACGAAGGAAGTTGTCTCACTCACTGATGTGGAGAGTCCACGCCCAGCGTCTACCCGTGATCAAGTGCCATTCAGTTTTAAGATTATATCAGTTGCTCTCGTGGCTGGAATTGGATTTGGATCAAGCTGGAGCAGTGGGGTGACAGGAGCCATAAAGTCAACATTAAAAAATACGTACAACACCCCGCAAAACAAATGGCCGCCTTAACTGACTTTTCCCACAGGAACTCAAAATCAACAACACTCAATTCGCACTTCTGGAATCGAGTGAGGATTTCATAAAAGTACTTCTCATTCTCGTATCCGGAATGATTACTGATAGGATTGGTGGCGCAAGCGCAATCCTATACGGCAACGTTATCTACACTATCGGATCGATATTTGTTGCGGCAGCAACTACTGTCCGGAACTATAGGCTCATGATATTTGGAAGAGTGGTTCTTGCATTTGGTGATGTGGCCACCCAGACTGCACAGTACAAGATCTTTTCCAGCTGGTTCCCTCCGAACAATGGATTTGCTAGTACGCTCGGATTTGAATTGGCTATTGGGAAGATTGGCGGGTTTGTTGGGAAGTCAACTGCGAACATCATCTCAGAGGTATATACACTAAGCATGCCAAGCAAATCATTCGATTTTACTAATTCAAACCAGAATCTTGGTGATTTCTCATGGGTTTTTTGGATTTCTTTATTCATGAACATCTTTACGAATCTTATAACCTTGGCATTCTTCTTCTTCACGAAATACGCCAACAAACGCTTCACTAATATCAGAGACCCATCCACCGGCGAAGAACTGACAGAGAAGAACAAGAAGTTTGAAGTCAAGAAAGTACTAGAGCTGCCATGGGTTTACTGGTCTGTTCTCGCATTCTCGCTGTTGGAGACGAGTACAGCGCTTGTTTTCACGCAGAATGCCACTGAGCTCGCAGAACATCGGTTCAATACCGACAGCATTACTGCAGGATGGTACACCTCCGTCTTACAATATGCGGGGTTCTTCGTCGTGCCTCTAATCGGGATATTTATTGATCTTTTTGGAAACCGAATCTCGCTCAGTAAGTTTTATTGACGATAGTTCGTTAAGTGGCAATTTGCTGACCCTCATTTCTCAGTGGCGTTCTGTGGGATCGGAGTCTTCATTTCTATGGCTCTGGTAAATTGGGCAAACTCCACAAAGGGGACAGCAGCAGCCTTCGGAATCTACGCATTTGCTTATTCGTTCGGCCCTACTGTGATCATCGACAGCATCCGAACCTCAATGTGGCACCAGGAGGTGTTTGGATCAGCGTACTCCATGAAAATAATGATGAATAATTCGTAAGTCTCCCCTCTCTTTCCCTCAAGTCATGCTAACGAAACAACAGGATGAACATCATCATCAACCTTATCACCGGCCGTATCCAAGACGCAGATAACGACAGTTACGACCGAGTCGTCATCGTCTATGTGGCTCTTGCGGCGGGTTCGGTAGTTGTCTCGATCGGCTTGATTGTTCTGTCTTCGATATCTATTGATCTAAGACGTCTGCAATGGACCCGGAAGCAGAGACTGAGGAACGGACATTTGATTGTTGAAAGAAAGGAGAGGTTTCTCGGGGAAAATGGGGCGAAGAACAGGAAAATCAGTTTGTGTTGTTTTGGAGCGCTGTGCGCTCTGTCGGTTGGGAGTTGGGTTGCTTATATTTGGGGCGCGGCGACTGGTAATAATTATTAATGACAGGAATAAGAATAGGGGGCGTAGTAGCCGGGTACTGGATGCTCACCATCTTATTTGTTTAGTAAACAAATCGAAAATCTAACCTTTTGTTTCCTTCATCCTTCGTCGTGAGCACATACGCTTCTTTTCTTCGTCCGTCCACGAATTCCAGATATCATCCCTTCTCTTATTCACCCACTTATAGTAAACGCTCACCCCAATGTAGATCACAATATTAGCACTACTCAGCGCCACCAGAGCTCTATTACCCCTTCGGTATCTCGGCTTATCATCCTCTCAATACATATTTGTGCCTATAATGCCTTGCGCTTGGACAAACATATTATACATCGCGGCACTGACCGTTCTCGATCTAACGGTATTGGAATTCCGCGAGATCCAGCCGCCCTGGACAGCATGCATATTGGGATAGGAAAGGAGGAGATTCGTGATTGCCCATATAGTCCACTTACTCGCTGTGGTGCTGTCGATGATGTAGAGGCTGATGAGGAATGGCAGTGCCCATATCTGCCCAATCACACCTGTGAGAGAAAGCTTTCCGATGTAATCCAAGAGAAGGGTAATTCCGAGCATGGTGATGATGTGACCGACTTGGGAAGGGATGACAAGGATGGTTTGGAACATGTCAAAGCCGAGGCTGCGAAGGGATGGGGCGAGGTAGTTGTGTGGAGGATCTGAATGGTTGGGTTAGTTTGTATTATAGGGTTGTAGTACAGGTAAAATACTTACTCATTGGAAGCTGGAACGTCAATCCTACCAACTACATTGGCCAAAGGTGGTAGTCTGACAATGACTTATATAACAGCTTTGGAGTTATTGGCTGGCGGTTGTGCATAGAACCTTTGGAAGGGTCATCGCGTAGAGCTCGGATGACAATTATGGTTTCTTCTCCTGCTGTGAACCAACCTTTTTTGCCAAGCAACTTGGATGCTGTCTGTGTCGGTGGCATCAAGAAGAATGCGACAACGTCTAGAACACCTGTGAAGATGCCCTCGATGAGGAAGAGCCATCTCCATCCGTTTTTGCCGTTGACGCCACGCATATGCAGAATGCCGACAATGAAGGGCGCCAGGATATCAGCAACGGACATAAAATGCCACCAGATAAAGGCGGATGGGTAGCTCGCGACTGGTGTAGAAGTAAGATAGGCAGAGTATCATCTGGAGGACATAGCTGTTAGTCGGGGTCATATGAAATTTCATTGGCGAAAACAAACATCTGGAATGAAACCTCCTTGCAGGATAGCCAGCAGTGCTCTGTAAGTTAGAAAACTGGTTCGACCGGCACGACCATATTGAGCTACGGCTACGATACTCGAGAGAATCATCTGCATAGGAATCCAACGATCAGGGCCAATCCTTCAATCCATTAGCGCGGTCACCAAGCTGCTGATCGAAATGAAATATTGACCAGCCAACTGAGAAGGCAGTTCGGCGCAAAGGAAAGACAGTTTGAACGCTGTATTACCCAGATTGTAGTCTAAGGCACGTCAACCGCATAACTTTTGTCTGGCACAATGGGACGCCAGAGGGAGGTAGCCAACCATTTGTATTCATATGCAACTCCTTCAAGAAATTGTCGGTCAGAGCTTGTGAAAGATTCGCACGATCCAACTCCAGGGCCATGAACGCAACACAAGCAAAAATCAAAATTTTGATGTCGACTTCTCGAACCACAGCCTACGCACTTCAGCATGCTTACAACATAGGTAGACAGCTTTCCAAACCCATTCTTCTTTCCAAATCCATCTTGCACTTTCTCAAAACGATGTAAGTTCTCATAGTCATCTCTTGGCTGGTAGTATTTTTGCAACGGCCGGGTCGTCATAGACAGATGGCTGCGTTGCAATTGATTGGGGTCAGTGTTGCCAATAGTGTGTCTTGGCAATATATTGGAATGAAATTCCCATATTGTATTACAATCATATAACGCTAATAAAGCTTGGCAATATAATATATTGCAGTCATATATTGAAGAAAAACAATATAAATTAACGTACATGTATAGCGAAAGCGCCAAACAAGCGAAAGCGCCAAAATTATCTACCCTCATGACAAACATTGCGATAAATCTACCACAACATTAGAAATCAATTGAAACTACTCGGAGTCCTCTTCCTCAGAGGTGTCTATTACAATCTGACACGTGCGCGCATTGTGCCCAGTCTCACCACACTTGCCACAGTGACGGGCACGGGTTTCTTCCCTTGGCTTCCGACCACGGCTTGCCCTTATTTCCTGCTCTACCTGCTGCACAACATCCCTCTCATCCTGTAGCTCTTGCGCCCCTTGTTGACTAAGTGATCCTCCTTGCTGTAGTCGTGTTTTCCTAGCTCTCCGGCGCTTGCTTAGTACTTCATTTGCCTGTCGTAGGTTTTGGTTCTCTCCCTTTAGCAGTGCTAATTGATGCATTATTTGCGATGCACCCTTTGTAAACTGGTCAACAGCTGCATAGATTGAGGTTGGAGAGCTATTTTGATGGCGTGAAATCTGAGTTTTAATAAATGTAGACTGTGACATAGCTTCAATTGGGTTGTTTGGTGTCTGAGAAACCCAAGGTTGAGCAGTACCTGGGCGGGAGCTTGGAGGCGTTGGTGTCCTTAACTTAAGATCAAGTGTAGATATCACTCTCTCAGGGTCAAATGGAAGAAGCCCTGCCCCTCGGAACACGCCTCAAATGTTACTTTCCGTCATTGTAGTGTTAAATGCAGCATGGAAGGCAGGAAAGAAGTCATCCTTTGTAATATGAGAAATATGAGCCTGCATCATATCTTCAATTTGCCGACCATAGGCCTGCTTTAACGGGCCGAAACAGCCAACATCAAGTGGCTGGAGTAGATGAGAAGAGTGAGCAGGCATACAAAGCGTAATAATGTTGTGTTCCTTGCAGTACTCCTCAAACTCATCTGAGTGGTGGCTCTCATGACCATCAAGGACTAACAAGCGATAACCACCAACACTCCGGGCCTTTGTATGCTTCTCAAAGTGCTGAATCCAATCCATGCCTCTCTCGTTTGTAGTCCAGCCATTTTCAGTAACAGAAATCACCCAATCGCTTGAAAATCCACTATTCTCATACCAAGATGTAAGGTGGTTTTTGCCTGCAACAATGATAAATGGTGGTACTGCCCAACCTTGAGAACTAACGCCTTGGATTACTGTAACCCATTCCCGATTACCAGGCTGTACCTTCTTTGCTTTTGCCCGCCCGTCTGAGCTTGTTACAACCATAGCAGTTGAGATAACGCCCATCATAAACCCAGTCTCATCAAAGTTGTAGATATCTGCTTCATCGATACCATATTTCGCAATTGTGTTACGCACAAGCTCAAACCAGCCATTAATAACTTCTGGATCTTCGCACTTAGCCCTCTGGTAGTCGTATTTGCGCTGAAAGCGTGTCTGGAGCTCTACACGCCGCTTAACAAAGTTTGAAGCCCAACGCGACCCAACGCGTGACGCGTCGCGTGTTGCAAGTAGTCGACTTGCCATATCTTCAACAACAGACAGCCGAGGAGGAAACCCTTTGGCAGCTAGGTCGAGTATATACTGAACAAGGACGGACTCCTCTAGGTTAGTTAATTTCCGTGAGTTGGCTTGGATATCGCGTCGTGAAGGTACACCTTCTAGACGACGACCTAGCTTGCGGTGGTCCACAGAATAGATCCTAGCAGCAACTCGAAGGCGTAACTTTGGATCGCTTTGCATAGCCTGGATAGCTAGCACTAATTGGCTTTCATCGTTTTTATGGGGCATGTTTTGTTGTTGAGGAATTTAACATTTAGTTGGGGGGTTTGGTCACCGCATCATTTTGGCGCTTTCGCTTGTTTGGCGCTTTCGCTATACATGTACGTTATAGTACTATTGAATTATAGTACTAACATTTTAAAAAGCTTGCTATCATAGTATCGTTGTTTGTTGCATTGTCCATCATAAAATACCCAATCTTTGACAATATGCCATATTCTTCAAGCACTGTATAAATCAAACCAGCTTGATTATCACCAGTATGTTTCCCTTTCAGCTCTCGTAATGATAGTACTGACTGTTGAAGCCCTCCATTCTCTGTGATATAGTGTGCAATTAAGCCCATTAACGATTTTGTATTTGGAGATGTCCATAAGTCGACTGTGAAATGAATCTTTGATTGTGATGATTGTATTGCTTGTTGAATCTTAATCTTCTCTTGATCGTATTGTCCAGTCCCACATAGTACTATGGCTTCGAGGCAAACTCTCTTCAGCATTAACATTTAAGAAATGTATTAACTCTCGGAATTCAGGGCATTGGACAATCGAAAATGGTAATGAGCACCTAGCAATGACCCGGACAAGTAGTTGTTCAAATGTAGGAGTATCAAAGTCAGCATCTTGTTGCCGTTTATAAGGATTATGAAGTCCATTTTGCAGAGCATTAGAGATACTCATTTGCATGTTCTTGACTTGTGACTGTTTCTGAGTATCTGTCACCTGGTGTAAATCCATCAAGTGTTTCGCTGGTGCCGCAGTACCACCTGATTCTCTATACTGCTTTGTACAATATGAACATTGCCACATTAAGTGCCCATTTTGTTGGTATGTTGCTGAAGGATTCCTATCATGTTGCCAAATCCATGAAGTTCGTTTATGACGCCCTGATTTTGATGTAACTGACAGTACTATAGTACTATTAGAATCTAGTTGTGAGGAGAGTGACAATTCAGTATCGTCTTGAAAAACATCGCTATCAATGAGTGATAAGGCGCTCAACTCTGCATTTGTTAAAGGCATTGACGTTGAATTGTTCATAGTACTATTAAAGCAGAGTTTTCAAATACCCCTATATTATAGGTGACATACTTATCTTCGGACCTGCTTGAATCGTTCCCATTCTGCTATGCTAGCTAGACTTGGCCATTTTGGCAAGAAATGGGCGCGAAGGTGGTGGCGGGCGCAAAATGGTACATATAGGTACTTCTGCTTGCATATATATTTGTATGGCAATAGAAGTACCATGATCTATCTTTTTTCTGGCCACCACCACCTCTCCCCACCCGCCCAGTTCCAAAGCACTTACTGAAGTAGAAAAATTTATCAAAGGCCAGTATTCTACAGAGGGAACAAAGGGCTCTAGTCACATAGGGGGTTACAAAGGGAATGCCGTAGGGGGTATGGCCAGAAGGGGAGAATTATATACTATTTACTATTTACTAGTAATTTCCCTTGTCAGGTCATAGCTGAACTCTGTAAGGATGCCTCCACCCTCAGTGACGGAAGGGATCGGAGTCGGGCAGGTTACGGTCACGTGGGGAGAGTTAGGGCAGGTTCACCGAGTCGGACCCGTTTCGGGTACTTAAGGTGCAAGGACACAGGGCACTCAGCTCACAGTAATAGCATATGAGAGTGCGAGTCGGAGGCTAAACGGATGCTATCCTATAGGTCTACTACGAAGGATACAAAAAAGATGATGAGGAACCCCATTGGGTCAATCCCCTTTGTGTAATAATTAGTCATATAGGTCTTGGCAATATATTGCCATATATTGCCATATGATGTAATGGTGGGTGCACCAGATGTGAGAATCTAGCCACCCAAGGAAGGGGATGATATTTACTAAGACAACACACTGTCTTAGGAAACAGAGCCAAAGGGTTGTAGCTTAGACTATTCCACAACGCAGCAACCAAGTGTATGATGTAGTGAGTGGTTTAGACAAGTTGTACAAATGTTGAGTCTGAGAACTCAGGGATAAGTCAGAGGTTAGCACCTCATTGACTTTTCAGAAACAAGGAGTAACAAGATCAATGCTTGGAAGCTTGGAAAAGACGTGGAAGTATGTGATAGTCGATTTACTGTATTGCCTGCTTGCTCTTTCTTAAGGAAAAGGCAATCCTATTTATGCTAAAGGAGTGTAGTTCTCTCATTTTCCAAGACTTTCCATGACTAACCAGGCTTGGTAACTGTAGTCGACGTAAGAGAATCCCATAGAACCATCTCCTAGGTTTCTAGCCTATAGGAAGTGAAAGGAGGTTCAAGGTCAGAGTACCTGTAAGGATGCCAAAGCCCTCAGTGATGGAAAGCATCGGAGTCAGGCAGGTTATGGTCACGTGGGGAGAGTTAGGGCAGGTTAGCCGAGTCGGACCCGTTTCGGGTACTTAAGGGGATTGACCCAACGGGGTTCCTCATCATCTTTTTTGTATCCTTCGTAGTAGACCTATAGGATAGCATCCGTTTAGCCTCCGACTCGCACTCTCATATGCTATTACTGTGAGCTGGGTGCCCTGTGTCGTTACAGTACCCCTATAGACAAATTATGTCATAACTTAACCAATCTTGTGGGTAACTAAGGAGCGATGATGTGTAATGAATCATAGAGGGTTGTAGAAGCTTTTGGAGCTATCGTTCATGTTCCTAGGCCTCTAGTTGATAGAGATATATCATGTGTAGTATTAGCCCAGTAACTAAGAAGTGATGTCATGTAATGAATCATAGAGGGTTGTAGAGATATGCTATGTGGTCATATCGGCCCAGTAACTAAGGAGCAATGACGTGTAATGAATCATAGAGGGTTGTAGCAATCGTTGAGTAGTATTGCTCTTGTGACAAGCCAAAATATGTATAGTGACTTGTATGTTTGAGGAGGAGATTTCTAAGTTTGCTCTTGAGTTTGATAGCAAACTGAGTGCAACGAATGTCAGTATGACATATGATATTGCCGTATTGTATTACAGTCATATGGCATAAGGCCATATTGTATTGCCAAGGCCCATATTGCAATATATATTGCAATATACTGCCAAGACCAATATACTATTGGCAACACTGATTGGGGTCGAGCTTTGCCTTTTTTGACCACCAGTATTTCTGGGCCGCGACTGTTTTAGCAAGTGGAGAAGTCTAAATGGAGACGTTTGCCTTCTTATCAGTTGGCGTGCCGGAAGATGAGTCTGAGAGAGAACCATCTCCATTATCAGGTGAGGGTTTCACCATCTTCGACCAAACAATGATTGCCATCTCCAACTGCCCAATGTGTAAGAATGCCTCCTTACCTAGATACTCGAAGAACCTGCCTCAGAGCTGTTACGGTCACTACAAGCATGAGATCCGACTCGGTGTGGTTTCAAACCAGTAGAGCACATAGCGAGTTACACTATAGTGGGGGACGGTAAGTGTGTAGGGTTCAGGGTCGATGCAGACCTGTTGTAGTGGAAGGTTCAGGGCTAGGGTTGGGATAACCGAGTCGGGCCCATTTCGGGTACTTAAGGAAACAGACTCAACAGGGTTCCCCCTTCATCTTTTTTGTATCCTTCATAGTAGACCTATAGGATAGCATCCGTTTAGCCTCCGACTCACACTCTCATATGCTATTACTGTGAGCTGGGTGCCCTGTGTCCTTACACGATGTATGAGAGGAGATAGAGGTTAGTTCAAGATTTTCTTGTGATATCTTTGGATATAGAACCCGTTCCATGGTGGGGGGGCTACATATATCTCAACTTTACCATTATTTCCAAGACTTCTTAGTGTTGCAACAACGTAAATAATACAGTAAAAATATGATAAGTCGATATGCTTTTAGCCGATATTTACGTTATCTCAATATCTTTTTCTGTACGGAAGCTTTTTACATACAAAACACAATACATCCGATATCGTGAGATCCTCCTTGAATATCGACTTATGCTAATCTTTTGAATCTTATAGAATGCCTTCAAGAAAGCTCAATTCGATGACAATTGAACAGCGTCGTGCTCTTCGACAATGGACCGTCAACAAAACACCTCGACCTTCCCAAAAAGATTGTATCGCCTGGTTTTTTGAGAAGTACAACATTCGAATTAGTCAATCTACAGTCTCGGAATCCCTTAGCAGCTGATTTATCAACCTTGATGATCCGATTAATACACCAACAATAGGAAAGAGGAACGATACGAATATACGTCGACAGGAAGTGGCTTGGCCAGATATTGAGGCTATTCTTTTTGAGTGGCAAGAACGAATCGATTCAAAAGGAGGTTTTACAACTGCGGAGATCTTACAAGAGAAGGCAAAGCGAATTTGGTCACAACTACCACAATATCAAGGGAAGCCTTCGCCAGAGTTTAGCATTGCTTGGATACAGAAATTTTATCCGGAATAGAAAGAGGCAAGGAGAAGGGGCATCAGTCAGTGAGACAGCAGAGGACGAGATGAGGGCTATTCAGACAGTGGCTGGGGAGTATTTAGAGGACAACATTTATAACATGGACGAGACGGGTTTATACTGGAAGATGATGCCATCTCGTGGGCTTTCTACAATGGAGGCTCGAGTACGAAGGAAGATGGACAAGGCAAGGATGTCTGTTGTATTCTGTTGCAATGCTGCTGGTACTGATCGATGTCCTCCTTGGTTTATTGGCAAGGCGAAAACGCCTCGAGCTTTACGAAACATCGACGTCATAGCAATGGGAGGGGTTTGGAGGTGGAATAAGAAGGCTTGGATGAATCAGTTTATTATGGCAGAATGGTTAAGGGCTTTTTATGCTCGTATTGGTACAACACGGAGGTTCTTCTCACCATGGACAACTTTTCAGCACATATCAAGGCCCTCAAATCGACACCACCCCCTGCGAATATCTGAGTTATCTGGCTTCCTCCAAATGCAACAAGTCGATTTCTAGCCCTAGATCAAGGTATCATTGCCTCTGTCAAAGCTCATTACCATCGACAATGGCTCCTTTACATCCTTGATGCTTTTGAAAGGAATGAAGATCCTGTCCAAACGATGAATATACGACTTGCTATTCGATGGCTTCTTCGATCCTGGAATCACGACCTTACAAACTCGACAATCTATAACTGTTTTCGAAAGAGTACGATTGTTCAAAAGCCAGTTCAACTACCCTCACAACCTCTTCCTGATATTACCAATCTCTATCAACAAGTACAACAAGCTGAGAATGTACATGACACTATGGATCTTTCAAGCTTTTTAAATCCAGTCGATGAGGATATACAAGAGTTAGAGGGGTGGGAGGATTTTCAGGGGGGGGATGCTATTCTTGAGGATATCATGTCACAATACGTCCCAGATACCACTCAAGATGATGAGGAAGAGGATGAGCCTTCTTCACAGCCTGTGCCAACTACACAAGCTGCGATTAACGCCATTCAAGTTCTGATTGAGTTTACGGAATCTGGGAATAGTGACACCTCAGAAGCACCAACGTTCTTACGTTCTTTTGAACGTTTTGAGAGACAGTTAAGGCTCCTTGAAGCCAATTCACAAAGGCAGGGGACATTAGACTCATGGTTTATGTAAATAGCTTCAATTTTTAATTTAATCACGTGTAATACATTTACTCGATTAAGTCGATATATTTTTGTGGATCCGAGGCATCGACTTATCGTATTTTTTACTGTACATAGAACATGAGGCCCATGATTAAACCACCACTTGCCCCCCCCAAACCAACTCCACACTCCACACTAACATACCCACCCCATGACGACGCCCCCCTGTGGCTGTGCATGACCTCCCGCGCCCGATCGATCAACAATTGATATACTCACCTTATTATGGGAATGTGTACGAGAAGATTAAAAATTAAGATGGTAAGATGGTAAGGGGGAATGGCGGCGATGGCGGTGATGGCGGTGAGAGTATAATAGAAGCAATATAGAGAAACATAGAGAAATATAGAGAAATATAGAGAAATATAGAGAAATATAGAGATCAATATAGTCTCATTTGATACTTCCGACCGTCCCGTTAGCCCTCCACATATTCTAGACTATTGTATGTACCTCGTACCGTCCCCCACCGGCGTGTCCATGTTACGGTCAAGTACACCACTGACACCACTTCGTAGTGCCCGTTACGGCTACACTAACTCCACCGTATTGTTACCGTACAGAGCGTACAAGGACGACCCCCGCCAACAACCCACCCCCCAGCTAAATCGCAGCCAGGATCATCACAACCATCACAACCATCACAACCATCACACACACACAGAACCTACAAATCCCAACAAGCAACGCCGCGGCGGGAGCTACAGACACCGGTACCCGACACTGCTGGCATCTCCAGGCGACAACAAAGGGTCTTCCCCCACCGAGGCCACCATGGAGACCAGCACAGGATTACGACGGAAGGACACCACGAAAGGCGCACCTCTGCGCATCCTCTCTCTAGGTAACTAGCCATTCCTCCCTTCCCCCCCCCGCGCCTCTCCCCGCTCGCTCCAAGCTAACTTTTCTCCCTCCTAGACGGCGGCGGCGTGCGCGGCTACAGCGTCTTCATCATCCTCCAAGAGCTCATGCACCGAACCTTCGTCGAGATCGAAGGCCGCGCCCCCAAGCGCTCCGAGATCCCCAAACCATGCGACCACTTCGACCTGATCGTCGGCACCGGTACCGGCGGACTGATCGCCATCATGCTGGGCCGTCTGCGCCTCGACCTCGAGACATGCAAAGAAGTCTACGTGCGGATGACGCGCAAAGTCTTCGAGACCGACAAGACGATCGCGGGGATCCCGTACCGCAGCACGCTGTTCAAGGCGAGTAAGCTGGAGGAGGCGATAAGGGAGTGCGTGGGCGAGCATACGGTGTTTCAGAGCGAGGGGAATGATGGCGAGGCGTTTGAGGATGTGCAGAGCCCGGTGGCGTATCCGTTGGGGAGGGGGGATAGTGGGAGGAGCGAGGGGGTCAGGAGGCATCATAGTAATGCGAGTATGTTGAGCTTTTCGGCGAGGGGGCCGAGGAGCACGTATGGGGAGAGGAAGTGGGGTAGTGAGGCGAGGTATGGGGATGCGAATGCGCTGCTCTATGATAGTAGGGAGAATCGCACGAAGACGTAAGTTCCGCCCTCTACTTCCATGCTCCAAAGATCAATCTCACTAACCCCAGCCTCAGCGCCGTAACAGCAGTCTACCAAAACACCCCCAAAGGCGCCCCCCCCGCCCTCCTCCGCTCCTACGACTCCCGCAAAGAACCCGCCCCCGAATTCAACTGCACGATCTGGCAAGCCGGCCGCGCCACCTCCGCGACAGGCCTAGCCTTCAAACCAATCCAAATCGGGCAGAGCGTGTTCATCGACGAAGTGCACGGGCGCTTCAACCCCGCCCCCATAGCGCTGGATGAGGTGACGGTTAATGAGTACCCTGGGAGACCGGTGGGGACGTTTGTTTCGATTGGCACGGGGAAGAGACCGGCGAATACGGATGCGCAGGGTCATTTGTGGTATGATGATTTTTTGGGGGACTTTGCGGAGGCGAGGAGGAGGTTGATTGCTAAGATTGAGGGGTGTGAGACGACGCATCTTTCTATGCCTGCGCTCCTCGCGGCGAGGAATGTGGAGATTGACGCGTATATCAGGCTTAATGTCGAGGTTGGAGTGGGGGATTTCGGGATGAATGAATGGGGCCGTCTAGCTGACATCTCGACTTCCACCCGCCGATACCTTGCCCGCCCAGACGTCCAAGCTATGTCCCTCAACGCCGCAACACGCTTAGCGCGCATCTACCTCACCCGCCTCCGCAGCCGCGACCCAGCCGCGCCCCCACCACTCGTTCCCCCTCCCCGCGACCCAAGGCGAATGACCCTCCAAAACGTCCCCGAAGCGCCATACCCCTCTTTCGCAGCCGAGCTACCCGCTGAAGTACCAGCTGAGTCCGCAGCAGCGCCCGCGGCACGCCCAAGTAAAAGACGGAGCTACGATCTCGGCGCTGAATCCCTCGGTGTCCCCTCCCCCATCCGCGGCAGCCCTCGGACAAGCGACGACGGCCGCCCCGTCTCCGCCCTCTCCACCGCGCCTACGAACTCCACGACTGGCGGCGGGGGGGGCGATCGACTAACCTCCCATGCTCCGACGCCGGCGCAGTATTGGACGGCGGGGGGACAGGATAAGATCGCGATTGTGGCAGAGGATGAACAGCAAGGGAATGGACGCATGGAGCCCCCGCCACTGCCGCCGAAGACGCCGATTATGGGGGTTAGAGAGCATAGAAGGGGGCCGAGCCCGGTGTCGACGCTGGGGCCGCCGTATCCGTTGGATGATGGACCGCCGCCGGTGGTTAATATGGCGAGGAAGCCGGAGTGGAATGGGAGGTAGTGGTGGTGGAAGGGGGGTGATTGTACTTTTCGCTTTGTCGTAAAGGTTTGGGGGGATGGGGTCTGGGGGTCTGGGGGTCTGGTTGTTTAGTTGGTTGGTTGGATACCCGGTTGCAGGCGTTTTTGGATCGTTTTCTGTGCGGGGGGCCTTGATTGAACTGGGGGGGTAGATGAATCCCCATCCGATGCTGGATACTGGATCGAACACGGATGCCGGGATCTGTGTACCGACCAACCTTTTAAACGTCAAAATCTACAAAACTACAAAGCTACATTTCACGAGCTGGGCATGGATGGACACGGGGCAGGACACGGGCATGGACATGGGCATGAATGGGATAGAAACTGGGATTTTCTTTCATTCTTCTGTCAGTCGCGGGCGTTTGTGGTGTAATTCTGCGGGCTGGTGGAAGGGAGGGGTGTGTAGGCATTGCGTGCGGATAAGGGTCATCTAGGGGGATGGGGAGGGGTGGGGAGGGGATCTGATGTAGGTTCCCGCGGGGGGGGTGAGGGTTATGTAGGTTAGGTAGAGAAACGGATTATTGCATACACCTACCTACTTCATGATATGCCGTGCTGTGATTTTTGGTGGTTGTGTTTCGTAGGCGCGCGTTTGTGGTAGCTTTTGGGGGCGTGGTGGCGCGGGAAGGGGAGGGGCAGGGCGGGGTGGGAGTGAGAAGGAAAAACCGGAGACCCCCGCCTCTGCGACTCTCCCTCCCAAAAAATCGCCGTTTTCGGAATCCCAGAAATCCGCAAGTAAGTCCGTGCTAGCTAACAGTCTGGACAGCTCGCCGGTCGGGGATCGGGGGAGATGGGGCCGAGAGATGACGGATGGATGGATGGGAGTTCCGAGAAGGGAAGTGGGATGGGAAATGAAGATGGGTTGGAGGGGTATGGAGAAGAGGTTTGTAAAGTGAAGCTCGTAGAAACCCAGCTCGTATAAACCCCCAATTGAGTAGTCATACTGAAGCAATCCATCCCCATTCTCACTGACCATTCATGGCGGCGGGGATTGAGTTATTTTTTTTTGTCCTTTCCCAGTTTCGCTATGGTATATATATCCACCTATCCATAAGCCAACATCAATCATCGGACAGATGGCCGAGCTGGTTATGGCGCCAGGTTAAGGTTATACCTTAATATCATGTGATTCTTCACCTTGTGTTTCCTGGTCACGAAAGTGGCGTGGGTTCGAGTCCCACTCTGTTCATTGTTTTTTGTCTTTTTTTTATATGGTATTTAATATCATATATAACATTTTGCTTGTGAGGCCTACATTACCTTATTGAATATATTGCTTTCTTTTAATTTTACTGCCTGCTGTGTCGCTCCTTCCCATTAAGAAGAAATAAGCTAATGTTTATTTAAGTAACGTATTTCACAGGCGAAGCGATCAGCTAGGCGAAGCGATCAACTGAACTTCCCACCTAAAATTGAGAAATTTACAAAATAATAACTCAACAACAACTTCATAATATATTCTAAAAATGTATGTGTATCCTATCCGCTTCGCCTGTGAAATATACTCTAATTGAAAGTTTGGTTGCGGCCTCTCAGTCACCTGACCCAAACCTTTATTTTTCCCACCACCCCGGCGTCCCACACACGCACACAGAAAATCGATCGCCTACAAAAGACGTAATAAGCGCCCAAAACAACAACAGCAACCCGGACAGATGGCCGAGATGGTTATGGCGCCAGGTTAAGGTTGTACCTTAATACATGTGATTCGTCATATAGTTTCCTGGTCACGAAAGTGGCGTGGGTTCGAGTCCCACTCTGTTCAATGATGTTTTTGCTTTTTTGACATTTTTTGGTTATATTATTTTTTTGGTAGGCGGATGAGGAGAGGGATGGGTTTTTGTGGTTAGATGGATGGATGGGATGTAGGGTTTTATTTTAAATTAAATGCCGTAGTAAAGGAAGGATTGGGTATTTTTTTATATTTTTGGTTATACAGTAAAACCCTAATATAAGGATCATGTGATATAAGGATACTTTGCCAATAAGGATATTTTGTCCGCCCTACTAGGGTTGGCAATAAAACTCATTGAACAAGTTATTAAGAAAATCTCCTCCTTAAGGTGGGCCAATACTACCACATGGCATATCTCTACCAACTAGAGGCCTAGGAACATGAACGATAGCTCTAGAAGCTTCTACAACCCTCTATGATTCATTACATGTCATCGCTCCTTAGTTACCCACAAGATTGGTTAAGTTATGACATAATTTGTCTATAGGTACTCTGACCTTGGACCTCCTTTTCACTTCCTATAGGCTAGGAACCTAAGAGATGGTTCTATGGGATTCTCTTACGTCGACTACAGTTACCAAGCCTGGTTAGTCATGGAAAGTCTTGGAAAATGAGAGAACTACATTCCTTTAGCATAAATAGGATTGCCCTTTCCTTAAGAAAGGGCAAGCAGACAATACAGTAAATCGACTATCACATACTTCTACGTCTTTTCCAAGCTTCCAAGCATTGATCTTGTTATTCTCTGTTTTTGAAAAGTCAGTGAGGTGCTAACCTCTGACTTACCCCTGAGTTCTCAGACTCAACATTTGTTGCAACTTGTCTAAACCACTTCACCACATCATACACCTGATTGCTGCGTTGTGGAATAGTCTAAGCTACAACCCTTTGGCTCTGTTTCCTAAGACAGTGTGTTGTCTTAGTAAATTCATCCCTTCCTTGGGTGGCTAGATTCTCATATCTGGTGCACCCACCATTACAAGGGAGTAGGACCTGTAGTCCAGCTACGGAGGACATCCGTGACATTGCAACGTAAAACTGCCCATGACTAAACATAGCTGCCCGTAGATCAACACCTAGATGCTTAAACGACTGGTCTTGAGACTTATTAATAGTCATAGCAAAGCATAAGTGGACAAAAAATTGTTTACAGGAAAACTCTATGCGCTAAGCCTATAGAAGTAGGAAGTGGGGCTAGAACATAACGTAACCAATCCCAAATTTCGACAAATGATAGCCAATCAATCGGTCTTGGCCTTTTATAATGTAGTATAGTATAGACTTTATCAATTTGACCCGTTTTATGATTCTAGGGTTGCTAGAGTGGTTTGCTAGGGTTTGCTTACGTAATCGCTTACAAATCTAGGGGTGTGCGCGATGTCGTTCGCATAGCATACGGACACCAGTGTCCGTATATTGGAACTCCTTGCTGCTCCCCCCGCCACGGAATACCCCACTTATCTATCCACTCCATCCATTCCTCGAAAGGAAATTGTGGAAAAGAAATACGTCTCTGCACAATTTCGCGTGTTTGTGCCCCATGTTTTTTCTCCTCTTCTGCTTCTGGTGGGTTGGGTTTGTACCTTGTTTGGGAGGGGGCAGGGGAGATTGGGGGGCGATATACGGTATGTACTGTTCTGTAACAGTTACGGTACGAGGTGTGCTACTAAGTATTGATTCTTGGGGACTGATAGTTTGTCTGTTTGTCTTGCCCTTGGTGTTTCACCGAGGTCGTAGTTCACTCCCTATCACCTCACTCTCAATCGACCTATCTCCTGCAGCCGGATAGCGAGAGGGGAAGAAAATGTGAGCGCTGAGATATCGGGAGTGTATCGATTGCTTCCCGCCGCCGCCGCATGCATCTCATTGTTGTCTCACACGCGACTCCTGAACCGTGAGGACCTGGCTGGTGGCTGGCTCCTGACCAGGTGGTGGAGATCGACCACCAGCGGCGGGGACGCGCGCGCACGAGCGGTGGGAACTGGGGATGGGAAGGGACGGGAAAGGGCGGACCGTGGGTGATGAGCGTGACCGGCGTGTGTCCTATTCACCGCCACACCGCGCACTGTTCGCCCACAACCCACCCACGGCTCTCTCTTCCTTCCATTTTCCTTTTTTCATTTCAGGAGAGGGGGAAGGAGGGCAAGGGTACAGGGAGGACGAGGGTCGATCGTGGTGTCCGGTTTTTCCGGTTTTTCCGTTGTTTTTACTTCTACTTGGGAGCATGTACATAGCCCCCTAGGGTCCGTCTACCCGACGGTCAGGGCCCCTGGATTGTGATGCCTGAAATAGACGGAAGTGTCTCGGCAGAAGTGTTGGTCGAGATGAGATGGGGATGGGGTGGAGGGGGCGAGGGGGCGAGGGTGTTTGACGCGTCTTATTGGCTGGGAGGGGGGGAGGGAGATCAAAACAATGATGTTTAGATGATGATAGATGATGATAGATGATCGTTTATGAGGGCTTAGATGATGTTGATCATGCGTGAGGGTTTGTTTGTCTCCGTATGTTGGTTGTGTTGGTTTGTTTACGGTAGTATTATATGTAGAACCTCCAAGAATGCTCAAGAATGCTCAAGAATGCCCGGAATGCTCGGAATCTTCAACAATCCCCAGAAACATGTCTGTCGCGGCATTGTTTTGAATTTTGGGTTTTATTGTACCATAGTGCTGTAGATAAACGCGTCGTGCCTTGACCCATCGACGTTGTAGACAGAATCTAGACAGAATCTAAACACCCACTAGTCCTAATTAGTGCAATAGTAAACAATCCCAGGTCGCGACTTCCCCGTGCCCCCGTCCCTGCCTCACTAGCGCCAATCCGCCTAGGGGAAGTCGCGTTCCCGGCCTTGTCCCTTCCTATTTCGATCTTTAACACCAAACGCACCACCCACCCGCCACTCAATTCTCGATAACTTCATTTTTTCGATACACATGAATGTTGCTTCGCGCGCGCATACGACTACGCGCTTAAGGATTCAAGAGAGTCGAGGGGGTTGAAGAAGAAGTTGTTCTTGTTGTCGTTGTTGTGTGTGTGTGTATGTGGGGTGCATGAGGCATTCAAGTCAGTCGTCTGTTGGTTCAATAAACATCTCTGCTTGTGTGTTGGCAGAAGAGACTATACATGCATGTCACCACTTCGCCACGTTGAAACGTTGACTCCAAGCCGCTTTTTGCTCTCGTTCACATTCGACCATCCTGATCTACCATACCAACATCTTGCAGCAAGAGAGTCTGTTGCCGCTCAAGAGACTACTACTCCCACTGTTGCCTTGATCTCGATCTATACCGACGACTCCCACAAACCAACCGACGACAAACCTACAAAACCAACAAAGCTTTTTGACATCTACTTTGGATGTTCACCCCTCATCTATCAGACCATATCCCCCTCTCACTATTTTCGATGAGCTGAGAGCCATAATCTGAACGTGCAAGATCGAAACCGCTCGTTCTTTCATACCTCCTACCAGCCACACCACCCATACATCTACTGCTTCACCATACAATGTCATACTCGAATAGCGGTGGCGGCACGCTTACCCTACCATCGCCAACACATGTTCGCCATGTTGATGTCACCTCAGCAGTAAGATCTTTGCGACGCTCGCTGTCGCGATCACCATCCGAATTTAACCTCAAGACGCAGAGAACCCCCGCACAGTCGCCAAAGACACCTTTATCGCCATCGCCTTTATCCCCAGGGTCGCCCTCGGGACTTGGCCAGACACACCAAAACTTCTTTGGCACACCAACACATGCGCCTTCCCCGCTGGCGAAGCCCTTCCCACCAAGTGTGAAGTTGTCGCTCCGATCAGCGAACCGCGCAAAGAATTCACCCACTACATCTAGAGTGCGCACTTCCCCGAGGAGTCCACTAAAACGTGTCTCGACTAGCGAGTCCAACAATCGCCTTAACTCGCAATTCCCACTCGGCGTGACACTCCGAGAAGAATACGAGATGAAGAAGTGCGACAACACAAGACCTACCGAACCCAAGAATATGGCGGCACAGAACCGCGAGACGAATACGCTCAACCCTGAGAAGAGCGCTCCAATCAACCAAGCGCTGGCAAGATTGGAGGGGAAACACGAGGGCGCCACCACGCCAACTTCGACATCCAGCCCATTGAAGCGCAGTGATGCGATTATGAACCTGGACCAGGCGAGTCTGGGAAGCCCAGTTGCAAAGCGTAGAAGCTTGCACGGGTCTGGGACGTTCGGCACTGACTTCAATGTCTTTGATCACGGACCGATGTTATCACCGAAATTTGATATCCACGATGATACAAATATACCAGAGTTTGAGTTCTCTGCACAGTCTGTTACGGGAGGGAGTTCATTCTCTAGCATGCCAAAGCGCTCATCATCTCTGCGCAAGTCGACTTTACAGCAGCGCCAGGAGAAGAGCGCTTCGTGGGGAAAGAGACAGGCAGTATACGAGTTATCATCGCTGTCGAATGAGTACTCCACGCCAACACCACCGAAGAATAGGCCACGGCTTTCCCTGGATCAGTTCATGCCGCCTATGTCTCGGGATAGCCCATTCTCATCACAGCGCGCCCTCCCAAACCCGTCGATGCACATGTTTAACCTCCAACCCACACAGAAACAACACCCACTCTCCAGGACGTTGACAACATCTTCGTCAAGCTCCAGCATGCCTGATGAGTCTCCAACCCACGTTCCCGTCAATTTCGGCGAGAACCCGAGGCCAAAGCTGGACTTCTCAAAGTCTCTGCCTGTGGGTGCTCTGCGCCCCATTGCCTTGCAGACCATTGCCCGCGAAGAGTTTGGCTCGAATACGTTCTTGACACCCGAGAACTACAAATCGGCGAAGCCGAACCCACTTGCATTCATGTCTACTGGGCTTATCTCAAAGGTCAACCATCACCCGGAAATTATGCCCCGCGGAAACGTCAAATCGAATATGCCCGATACTCCGTGTAAGAAGCCACTCAATGGGTTCAACACAATGCCTGCTCCATCTGTTGCAGGCAGTGCCATCGCGAAGGCTAGGCACATTAGGCACTCTTTTGGCGCCCCATCCACTCCATTCAACGCGAACGGAATCCAAGCCGTATTTGGCAGCTCCTTCGGGAATAGAGGTCTTGTTCGACGCGGTAGCTTTATCAGCATCGATGGCGATGAAGACAACCAGAACGACAGCCAGTCGGCCAGCGATCACGATCTGCCACCAACCCCGACCAAGCAAGCACTTACCAGTAACAACACCAACCGCGGCAGCCCACATGCGCTCCGATCTCTCCAACTTTCGGCATTTGGCAATGAGATGTCAAAGGTCTCCTCAAGACCAAGAACAAGCAGTAAGTTGAACCTGCTCACTACCTTCTGTGACCCCGAGGACAGCGGCGAGGACTTTCTCGACCCGGATTCTCCTTCTATTCCTGTGTACAATTTCTCTCCCAGTCCTTCTCTTTCGATGCCGTCCCTCGGATGCTCCCAAGTCTCCAAGGGGCCCAAGCTGGAATTTCCGGAGTCCTATTCTACCAAGTCTCTCGCTTCTCCCTTCGTCAGTCCTATCTCGAAACCGGACAATGCTAAATTTAGTCACGTGGCTCCAGCCTCTCCCCTGGACCGCATAGATTTCATTGAGAAGCGCGCTCCGCACACGCCAAATGCAGATGCGCTGCCGCACGACGCGGGCCGTTTCTCGATTTCGGCTCGGAGGTCTCGCCAGCTCGCAAAGCAAGGTAGTGCGACAAGCGGAACTATGCCTCCACCGGCAACACCAACGACTGGCAAGGATCTTCAGACTAACGGAGGTGTTACTCCTGTTAACGGATCTGTGCCTGTTGAAGTGGACGAGGTCCTCACGTCCCTGTTCGAAACGGTTGAGAAGATTGGAGGAGGCGAGTTCTCGGACGTCTATCGCGTCACACAGCGTCAGGTCACTCAGGCCAAGGAGCAGTCGTTCTACTTGGGCACATCAGACTTTCCACTTGAAGGCGGATCACCACCTTCTCCAGTACCGGACCGTGCCTTTGCAGTTAAGAAGTCTCGCGCTCCGTATACGGGAAACAAGGATCGACAGCGCAAGCTGCAAGAGGTCAATGTGCTTAAGGCGCTTGGGCGTTCAGACCATATCATTCAGCTTTTCGACAGCTGGGAGACGAACGACCATCTCTATATCCAGACAGAGTTCTGCGAAGAGGGCACTCTACAACTGTTCTTGAGGAATGTTGGTATGAAGGGTAGATTGGACGACTTTAGAATCTGGAAGATCATGCTTGAGCTCGGACAAGGTTTGCGTTATATCCACGATGCTGGATATCTCCACTTGGACTTGAAGCCGGCGAACATCTTCATCACGTTTGAAGGTGTAATTAAGATTGGCGACTTCGGAATGGCAACATCTTACCCAGCACAGCAAGGAATCGAAGGCGAAGGAGATCGCGAGTATATCGGGCCGGAGATTCTTCTGGGGCAATACGACAAGCCGTCGGATATCTTCGCGTTTGGTCTCATTATGCTCGAAATCGGAGGAAACGTTTTGTTACCCGATAACGGACCGACGTGGCAGCGACTTCGGTCAGGCGACATGAGCGATGTTCCGAGTTTGACTTGGAGTAATGCCAGCGCCGTGTCTCGAGATGCGACTGGCATTGTAGACGACAGCGACACCAGCATGGACTCGTATCTTAGCGACGACGAGATTGAGCGCGACATGAAGTCCCAACGCATCCAAGGCAGGAGGCGTAACTACAATCCTCCCAAGCGCTCGACTTCGCACGACCCAGCGAATCTCTTCGGATCTCTTAGGCGCGGCGAATTGAACAATGCCCCAGCGTTCATGAAGGACCAATACCACCGCGGCGCCCTAGATGGACTCGTCAAATGGATGATCACCCCTCGGCCTGAGGAGAGACCTACAATCCACGAGGTTCTGGAGTCCGAAGGTGCTCGTTGGGTCGAAGCCCGTCGTCGTGCAGGCGCCACTGTCTTTGAAGGCAACTGGGGTCCTGGCGACGACGTGCTCGCCGACGACGCCGAGATGATCGATGTTTAATCCCCGTATACCCTTCAATTTTGGCTTACGCCACGCAGCTTCTTTGCTCAGCTCCTCGACTGGATAGGAGATTTGAGACGAGGAAGATTGGGGATTGGACATCCGACCACCGCCTCACTGGATACGCGCCCTTTATGATTCTATGCTTGTTTACCCTTCTACGCCGCCGACGCCCTACTACGACGACCCCTAATTTGAGTATGTGTTTACGACATGATAGTTTTTACGCCTTCGACCACCCTTTATGACGATTTGAGATTTGAGATTTTTACTGGCACCGCAAGACCTTTAGAAGGGATGAGATATCCCGGATACGAAATAGCGTTCCTTGTTTGGAGTGCCCCTGCCCCGTTATTTTACGACAGCGATTTGTGCTTGGGCTTTGATTTATTGTTTTTCGAAAAAGAGCGAGGTTATTGTTCATGCTGTTTCCTGTGGGAGGCCCCTGGAATTGGGGTTTTTATCATCTCGCGGTTTACGCGGAATGTTTTATGCCGGGCTCTTCTTTCGCAACACGACTTTCTCTCTTTCTTCGGGAGAGAGAGGGGAGTGGGAGAGAGGAGTTCTTGATGCAAAAGGAGGGAATATAGTGAGATCTCCCGCGGGATTTGTTTTTTACGGCACCCATGGGGGGGGGAAAATGTGGTACATTTTTGCTGGTTGTGTTTTGGAGTATATTTTGCTCCTGCTTCTTGTTTTGCGAGAATGGGGGTTCATTTACGGGACATCTGGAAATGATGACTTTGTTAGAGTATTGTGTGCATGTATGGAAAGAACGGATTAGGGATGGGAGGTGGGTTTGAGAGTTGGGAATGGAATGGAAGGGGGGGTAGGAGACTGGAGGATGGACTGAGGGATGGATGTATGGATGAAAAGGAGGGATTGCGGCTAGTTTTTTCGGAGAGCAGTACCTGTGGCATTTTTGCGTGGACTCTTGAGCGATCGATGGTCTTTCGGGCTGTTGGTCATGAGGGGGTCTGTCTGCTTTTTGCTGTGGTGTGCTTGCTTTGCTTTAGCTAGATTCCTAGGTCAGAGGGGCTGAGCTGAGCTCCTTTTTGGGGCTTGGTGGTAATAGGAAGTTGGTGATCCAAGAAGTATAATCGCCGCTTGTGTGTTTGATGTGAATGTTAATGGCTATGTGGATGTAGATTTGAGTATGCTGAGGGTGGCACTTTGTGATTGGAACTTTAGGTGTGATTGGTATATTTTGGAATTGATTCGTATCCCTAACGCCGACGCTATGCATTTCAAAGTCCTCTCTGAGTTTATCTGTACCCATTTCCCCTCTGTAGCTTTCCTTAGATCTTTCACCTGTCCGTCAACTGTAAAGAAGTTCTCCATGCGCCCAGTACTCTCGTCAGACCTCCCAACATCCCCACCACCTCATATCCCACACCCAGCCCTCCTCACAACAAATCAAAATCATCCAACTTCTCCCTATACTTAAGGATATTCCTCCGAATCTTACTCCCATCCACCCAAGTCACAAAGTCCTCCATACTCTTCCCCACCAAATACGCCGGATCCGTCACCGCCTCCGTCCCAACCCTCACATGCCCCTGCTCCACAATCTTCGTCGCCGCCTGCACCGTCTCCGCCATCCTCAACCGCGTCATCACAACCGGCAACCTCCTCCTCGCAAACGCCGATACGGTGACACTATTCTCGACCGCCGACAGTTTAGATGTCGTAGCAAGGATCCCCATATCATGCAGCTTATTGAGAAGTAGAGCCTCGTGCTTCTGGCGCACTGGGTCGTCGGGCGGGAGAGCGGCGAGCTTGTGTGCGAGTTGACGCAGGGAACCGCAGATGCGGTTGTATTTTTGGTAGTCGGAGGGGTTTTGGATGGCGTAGCGGCGGAGGACGGCCGCGTCGCGGTGGTTGTTGTCCGAGGCGTAGGTGGTGAAGTCGACCTTGCGGAGGAGCTTGGACTCGTGGTGCTTGAGTTTGCGGACCATCTTGTCTGAGGTCTAGGTTTGTGCTGTTGGGAGGACTGGTAGCTAGGTTTGGTTGAAGATTTTCGTGAGGAGGCTGATAAGAAGGCTGAGATTATTTTTTGGGAGTCGTTCCTTCCGTTCGGAGAAACTTTTTAGGGTGCTCGGAAAATTGATGTTCCGCGGTTGCTAGATTTTGGAGTCCCAGTTAGTATGGCTGTTTGGGACGACGACACAAGGAGAGGAACGTAAATCTCGACGACAACGCAATTATGTTGCCGCTGAGGTTACAATGCTTTAAGCCCGCCGTAGCGGCACGTCAATTAGGTGTCTGCGCTCGTGCAGCTTTCACCACCGGCACCGGGTCATTCGCTGGTACGCTCCCCCCATCTTCCTCGCCACCCATCAAAGCAAGCCAGACCACTAACTCTCCTCCTCCCCCAGACTCCTCCTCCTCCCCTTCCCGTGCAAGCACCACCTCCCCCGCCCCCCGCGCCAACTTTAGCCCCCGCCCGCGCACCCTCTCCCCCGGCAACGAGCGCGCCTCCCAAAACCTCCTCTCGCTGATCGACCGCACCGCGCAACGCAAGGAGCGTCAGCGCACGCAGCGTACTGCCGCCTACGCGGGCGGGAACTCAGCTGAGGATCTCGCGCGCCATAAGACGGCGACGAAGGTCACGAAGCAGATCTCGCGGCGCTGGAAGACGGGGGATGTGTACGCGCCGCATGATTTGAGCGAGGTGGAGATGAAGAAGTGGAAGCAGAGGGGGAAGCCGGCGGTGGATGTTTTTGATGTGTTGGAGTTGGATCCGTTGGTGGAGTATCGCGTGAGTGTTTTCCCCTTGTCCCTTAATCCGGGGGTGGTTGGTTTGAGGTGATGGTATGGAAGGGAGGCTGATGATTGGAGATAGAATTTCGCGATGCTTTCGGAGTATATGACGCCTATGGGACGGATTATGCACTCGAATGATACGGGATTGCGTAGTAGGAACCAGAGAAAGATTGCTAAGGCTATTCGCCGTGCAGTTGGGATGGGATTCATGCCGTCGGTGCATCGTCACCCGGAGATCCTGATGAAGGAGAGCACAAGGAGGAACGAGCCGCTTAGCCGTGAGACGAAGGCTTGAGAGGATTGATTTGATGGAGTTGAGAATGGCACATGTATATTCAGTTGTGTACATGGTACGTGGCTTGAGGGGAGAAGCATTTAGAAGGTCAATGAAAACACAGGGATGTCCATTGTACAATATATATCTTTTAAGAACACTCTCTCTTATGTTGTATTTATCAATTCTATACAATATATCCTAAACCTATCCATAAAGGTACTCGATACACCACACTCAGTTGGGGACAAATGCTCTCTGCTTTGCATTGGGTCTGGTGGGCAAAACTGAAAATCCGAGACGCAGTTCTTTGATCACCAACCTTCCAGATTTACCATCTGACATACATCCAACATTTCCTCTTGATAAAGTGAGACCTATGGCAGCTTCTCGAAGATGCTGCGCAATTGAAGCCCATCTAACGGTGTTAGATGCACAGCTACAGACCAAAAACTGCTCAATAGAAGTTTGATAGTATGAAAGCCCACGACACTACTGAACAGACAGTAACATTCTATCTCTGAAACGAACAGCTATCATCGTTGGACCCTCATTCTAAAAGAGATATCTGCACCGCCACCCCGATGTCTCCCGTAGTAAAGGCCCTCTGACTACTCTGACACAAAGTGGCCGAGGACAAAGAGCCGCCGTCCCCGAGTCTATTCCCAAGCACTTTTCGCCGAAAAAGTCTCATAATATGACTACGAAGAACAGTAGATTTTTGAGAACAGGGCTACTGTTCAGTTTCGAGCCTCGAGGATCAAAGATGGCTGTTCATGAACAGTTAGCACCTCCTGAGACCTGTTCGTCGTTAAGGGCTAGCTCTTGCCCTCTTTCGAATCTAGACAACAAATCAGAGGAGAGGGAAATAGTATAAATACTCTCCAAAACCTCTCGATATTTCCTCTCCAGTTCTCTCATCATCAGTTTCTCATTGCACAATCATACCCAGACTTCTTCCCCAGATCTCTAATCATCAACTTCTCATTGCCACAACCACACCCATACACAACATCCCGCGCAGGTTCGCGGCATCAACACATCAAAAATGACGTCCCCAAAGCGCAGCAAGAAGAAATCCAAGAGATCTTCTAAGAAGACTCCAAAAGAGACTCCGGAGCAGCCCCTGCAGCAAAACTTCCGCTCGAACAGTCAAGTCCTCTGCCGTGGCCGTGACAGCAGAGACAGTGGCATAAGAAGCTGCCGCATCAAAGCCCATCCGATTGTCCCTGGCGGCCGTTACTGTGCCAGGCACCAGAAGCTGTGCCATCGGTGCGAGGGCTCGCCGAGGCATTTGCTCACTGAGAAGTGCCCTAGCTGCATGATGAGGTGGAAGAAAGAGGAGCTAGAGAAGAAGCAGAAGAAGAATTAGATAAGTAAGTTAACAGAAGAAGAAGAGGAGGAAAAAGAGGAGAAAAAATAGACAAGAACAAGAGGAAGAGGAAGAAGAAAGAAGAAGAAGAAGAGAAAGAAGAAGAGGAAGAAGAAGAGGAAGAAGAAGAGGAGGAAGAAGAAGAAGAAGAAGAAGAGGTAAAAGGAGAAGAGGAAATAAATTGGACAAGAAGAAGAAGAAGTATTACACAATGAGTATGCGAAAAGATGGGCGAACAGGTATCTATTTTAAATATCCCATATATTCGATGATGCTAGTCTATTATCTACAATAAACATGGCTTATATATACATCTCATGCTTTCCACTCTCGTACAATATTGAACACTTCGTAATCGTCGTCCGCATCCGGCACTTTGCCAATCTTCTCTAGTTCAGCCCAGAGTTCTGGGTATGTTAGTTGACCCCAAGTCATAACCGCATCCTTCTTAATCTGCCCTGGCACGACATTATAGAATATGCCCAACCTTAGAGTTTGAGTTAGCCATGCACCCTGTAAGATATGTGTGGATATTACTCACGTATTAATATCCGGTCCGAAATCCATATCTTCCTCCATCCCTTCAATCAGCTTCTTAACCTCCTCAGCTAGACCCTGTCCCGCCAACGCACCCACGTACGCATTAAACACCTCGGGAGTAATCTCAATCTCCATCCTCTTCATCGTGCCCCAGATCTCCTTGGCAGGTTTCTCGCCAAAATCGTTCTTCTCACAAGCCCGGAACACCATCTCCAGACTCGCATAGCTCGGTCCTTCCCGACTGTTCGTGACATCAATCCAGAAATCTAGTGCGCGGTCCGCATCGCCTACCGCCGTGAACGCAGCCATTAGCGAGTTGTACAGCTTCGTCGATGGCTCCACCGTTGAGTCCATCTTCATCATGTTGTGCACCATATCCAGACTCTCATCGTCCGCGCACTTCCCGATTCCCAAAAAGCAGGCCACGTACGTGTCGATATTCGGCCGGATCCCGGGGATATCGTGCTGTCGCATATGTCCGAAAGCGTGGCAGGCCATATCGGAGCGACGGCGGTCGAAGAACTCCGTCATGAGGCGCGTGCGCAGATCCCTTCCGGTCTCGGGATACACGCTGCGCAACACCGTGTAGGCGTCCCAGACCTGCGCGGTGCTGTTGCCGCGGTAGAGGCAGTAGTCGAATATAGCGTCGCGGGTGCGGTCGCGGTCTTCGAGGTCGTGGTGGAAGACATTGCGCTGGAGCGCGTTGACTACTTCGGTCATGTCGCCGCGCTTGAGGTGGAGTATGACGAGGGAGGATAATGTGTCGGCCTCTAGGCGTGCGTTCCGCTCTTCAAGGTCGGTCACGACCGACATAATTTTGTCGTAGTTTGGAGAGGATGTAGAACACAAAGCTCGAATGTATTTGTTGGCAACGGGGATATCTTGTCTTTCCGAAATATCCTCGGCCCTCAGTGCACCGTATGCGCCCTGCGCACCGGAAAGATCCTGGGCATCGATACGGTAGTCCATTTGCATAATATATGTTTTGGCATTTGGCCGGATGCCACGTCTCTCAGCGAGCGCAACATACCTCTCGGCCAAGTAATGATTCTTTCTCGATATGGCGGACTCTACCAGTTTGTTAAAGGTATCCATATCCGGCTGCCTATAACTCTCGTCGTTGTGCTTTGCCATAACATCCATCATGCGCTCTACCTCCTCAGGCCCCTTCTCAAGTCCTTCCGCAGCCCAAAGTAAAATAACATCCCAGTTTGCTTTATCCGGATTCGACTGGACGATTGATCGGAATATTGGATTCAGCCATTCCAGCTCATTGTTCCTCAGGGCAAAGTGTAATATGGACAACAGTGTCGACGCTCGCGGATATGCAATTTCCTCATTGGCCTTTGGCGCAATCGGCTTGGTGAACCACTCCTTGGCATTGGCCACATTGTTCCTGGACGCGTAGAAGCTCGTCATGATATCCTGCACTGCGGCATCATACTGCAAGCCGCTCGCAGAAGCCATGTTGAAAGTCTCAGCCAGCTCTGCCTCTTTGCCTTCTGTAGAAAACCCATCCATCACGTATAACCACATCGTCTTGACCTGCTTGCTCCCATGGTCATTCAGCTCCTTTCCTTCCGACAGATATTGAACAAGGTAGTCCCTCGCCTCCAGTGTATTCCCCGTCGCCGTAAGCACCTTCACAAAATCCCTCGCCTCTACCAGCAGCGCCCCTGGATTCTCCTGCCCCACCCTCCGCCTCAGCTCTTCAAACACCTCCCTCGCAAAATCCACATGCTCGCTCGACGGCTTCGCAGGCAGAATCTTCATCGCATCCCTAGCGCGCTTCAAATCGAACGTCTTCAGCCCGAACTCCGGCTCCGCACTATTTGTGTCCCGCAGATGCTGGAACGTTCGCAGCACATACGACGCCTGTAGTGTATTGATCGGCTCCTTCAGCCCCGCCTTGTGCGCCGCAAACTGTCGGAACGCCTTCGCGAGGTCGTCGGCGGGGGGCGAGCGCGCGCGCAACGTGTCCATCAGGCCCAAGTCGAGTAGCGTCGAGAAGCCAGGGTCCATGTCCGGATCTTTGATGCCGCGTTCGGGCTTAGGTGAGAAGCCAAGGACGGAGACATAACGTCGGGCGGATGGTTGCAAGGCAGATACCACGCCGCATCGTAGGCTCCGCAGGGCTGGGCGATGGGGGCAGCGGAAGTTGAAGCCTTCGTTGCGCAGGAGGCGCCGGAAGACGGTGCGCGTTAGGTGCGAGCGCATTTTGAGGGGAGATTATATGGTACAAGTGGGAAAAAGGCTACATGGATCAGTATGATCCAGGTAATGATAGTAAGACGGGTATAACCCACGGAACCATTGTTGTCGTCGCAATTGAGCAGCTGATGGAAAAGTAGTTTTGCAGCTATCGCGGCCATGGATAACCCAAAATGTCGACGGCAATGCCCGCATCGGCAACTAGCCTGATACGGTAACTCTGGACAACACTGTCCAATTCTCCTTTACTCGATTTAAGGGCAAAATTTGTTAAATAAATGAAAATATGCTAATATGCGCAGGTAGGGGTTAGATATTATAATGCTTATAGTCCTGTTTATCGTACGTATGCCCCTCACGAAGTTACCAACGATGTCAATCTTGGAAAGAAGGCTAAGGTAGCCTCCCTGGGCGAGGGACCAGTGGAAGCGGGCTGAGACGTCGCGGAGGGCGATCTGGACCATCTGAACGGGACGACGAGGAAAAAACTGGAGAGGATGAGCACGGCGGGGGTGGAGTTGAACATTGATGTTGAGTCTATGGTTGTGCGGAGGTGCTCCTTGATGGAGGCGAGGAGGCTATCTGGCTGGCGAGGTGGAGAGGTGGATGAGGGCGCCCACGGCTATTATGACTATGCCTAGAAGCATTGGTGGATACGGCGACCAGCTCATGAGTTTGCCTGAGAGTATGGGTCCGAAGATCTGAGCTGCCAGGCTACCACTCATTACTATTAGAAAAGTCTGGGTGCGGCTCTCTGCAGGAGCAACGCCGGCGACGGTAGCGAAGAGCATAGCGGAAGTCACGGCGGCGGCAGCGCCGATGACCTGCAAAGGGGCATGGCCCAGACGAGGCGAAGGGGAAACACGCGCCACCACCAACAGATGGCGAGGTTTAAGAGCTCACCGAGCTCTATCACGGAAAGGATGAAGACGGTTTGCGGCCGATGCGGTCCGCGAGGATGCCATACGGAATGGAGACTAGGAGGCTGGGAATGGAGGAGGTGAGGAATAACCACCAAAAATGGATAGGGCCAACTTTGCAGAGCGACTCATCGATCGGGGTGTCGAGGGAGGGATGGGATGTGCCCTCGAGGCCGTCGTAGTAGTGGTGGCAGATGATGTCCTCATAGATGCGAGATTGAGGCATAGTCATCATGTAGGCGCCGAAGTTGATGAGAAACATCACACCCGTGAGGAGGGGCAATGATGAGGCGATGGTCGTGTAGCGTTGGCAAGTGAGATATAGGTGGCTTTAGCTGCCTAGTTCCAGGGAGGAGAGGCTCATTCTCCTGTTGAGACTCATGATGATGTGCCATGTCGTCGAGTTCGGTCAGTCACTGCCGCTTGCGATTAATCCGTTGTCACCGCCGGCGAGAATTGGCAATCGATACCAAGCAAGCAAGCAAGCAAGCAAGCAATTAATCAATCAAGCAGGCAGGCTCTGCAACAAAAGAGAATAAAATCACAAAACGGCAGCGGAAATGGTGAACTCTATATAAACACAGCACATAAGTAGTTAGATTACGTTACAGAGGGCAGGATCACGAATGCCACGCCGTGTTCCAACAGTGTATTGCTACCGTCGCGATGTCATTTGGTGATAAACACCGTCGCGTCGTCGAAACGGCGAGGTCGCTGATCGGAGTAGAGTAACTTGACACGCTGGCTTGGCTTGGCGTTGCTTTTGTTTCTCATTGTTTGTGATTACTATTTCTACATACGCGGCCTTAAGAAGGTCATTATATTTCCATTTGCCACCGCCTTGGCTTCCTCTCGGTTTAGGGTCTCCCGGGGGTTGGTGCCTTTCGGAGTGTTCCAATCCCAACTCGTACGCGGATCGGTTCCGTACTTGAGTCGGTAGGGGGTCATGCCAATGGATGCGTGGGGGGAGTGTCATTTGCACGCGGTCCATTATGGGGATGAGTTCGCTCCAGTTATCCTGATAATGGGAACTAACGTACCCACTCACCCACCCGTCCCCTCCAGGAGCCTCATCCTCCTCTCCTCCTCCTTCTCCCTCTTCTCCTTCTCCGCCTTCTTCTTCGCCATCTTCCTCTTCTGCGTGTCTGTCACATACGCAAGCCTTGCCTCCCTAAGTGCCATCTTCTTTTCCTCCTCCATCCTATTGTCTCCATCCACCCTCTTCTCCTCCACCCTCTTCTCCTCCACCCTCTTCTCCTCCACCCTCTTCTCCTCCACCCTCTTCTCCTCCACCCTCTTCTCCTCCCTAAACTCCCTCATAGCAACCTCATACATCCTCCTCTCCTCCTTCTTCCTCTCCTTCTCCACTTTCCTCTCCTCCTCTCTCCTCTCTTCTTCCGCCGCCCTCTCAGCTTTCCTCTCCTCCTCCGTCCTCCCCATTTCCACAACCACCCTATCCATCTCCCTCCTCGCCAGCTTCAAAATCTTATTCGCCGCCTCATGCGGCTCGCTGATTTCCTCCCCCTCCGCCGCGAAAAAGGCAGTCACGAGCTCCGTTGCGATGGCGAGGTACTGTTCTCCACGCGCGGGACTGGTGCGTACTAGCACTGCGGCGTCGCTGCAGAGGACTTGCACGGCGGTTAGGAGGAGTTGTTGGGAGGTGTGGGATTCGAGGGCGTCGAAGAGGTGGGCGTTGGCACGGGTGAGGGGGAGGTCGGTGGGAGGGTCTGGGGATGTAGTTGGGGCTGAGGAGGGATCCAAAGGAGCAGGAGTGGCGAGGGCAGCGGGAGCAATGGAGGGCGCTGAGGGCCTAGAGGGGGAGCAGTCTGTGGTGGTATTTGAGAGGAGAGCTGAGGGGGAAGCCGAGGAAGGAGCTGTGGGGGGTTCAGAGAGGCAGTCCGCGGTGGGATCTGAGGTAGGAGTTGAGGGAGAAGCCGAAGAAGGAACTGACGAGGCGTCTGGATTTGTCTTTGAGGTGGGAGTAGGGTAAAGCGTCGAAGAACCAGACGAGCGGCCAAATGGTACAGCTGAGGAGAGAAACGAAGCAGGTCCCCACGACGGAACAGAGGCAAGAGTTGAGAATAGACTTGACGACGAAGCCGAGGACGGGCCCGAGGAGGGATCAGAAGAAGAATCAGACGACGCCATTGAGAAGTATGGAGCAATGATTCTGCGATGCTTTCGTACGGTGTAGGTGCCCAGATATTAAATTAGCCAAATCACCCGCTGCATATGAAGCCCGTTACACAGCCCCCCAACGACCTTTAAACTCCCCCCAGAACTTGGGGAGTACACACCTCTTATATCCCCCCCTACCACCAGGCTTCCCTTCCACCACCGCACCGCCCTGTCTCGGGATTCTCCCACCGCACACCTGCTTCGCGTGAAACTCCTTTACCTGCTTGCTGGTAAGGGGTTAAGCATACCACGGTACGGCTGGAACCCAAAATGCACAATGAAAAGCAGGATGGTAGACACCTTACTACTACCCGCGATGGGAGTAGGAGTGGGATGGCACAGAAGATTCCCGATACCAACGGGTGCCTGTGTGATGTACGGGGTAGGGGGCCGACTAAGACATGGCATCCCACTATCTGTGGTTCCGACGGGATCGCAGGAAATTGGACGGGAAGCAGCTAGCTGGTACAAACTCCGACTTGGCAAACCGATCATGACTCTCCGTAGGGTGCGTCATGGGGAACCTAGACCACCGGTTCCCCTAGATCAGACCGGACCATCTGGTCCCAAATTCTCAGACCGCGGTCTGGTCTGGTCTGAAGCCTCCAACCCTACGGTCCCCCACCGGTTTCTTGGCAGACCCGGTCACGGGGTTTAGCATGCCTATAAATCACGTGTGGGGGTATTTGCGCCTTGACATTTTAAGTGGATATTTTACAAGTAATTTAGACAGATAAGTTGGTAGTTGGCAAATTACTATAATTGTTACTATATCTAACGTGGTTTACCACCAAACGGAACATCCCACCAAATGAAACACTTTCCGATAGCATCGCAACCTCAAACCCAATTACTCCACCCTAACACATTAAAATTAACTACACTCAATTGAATTCTCTTCTCCTAATATCTCTTCAACCTCTTGACAGGTTCGTACATTATGCCCAGTCTTGCCGCACCTCCCACAGCGACGCGAAGTCGATGGACCAGCCTCTACAGCACCCTCCTCATTTGACCTTTTCTGTCGTTTCAACCCTTTATCCCCTTTTTCAGCGATCAGTTTTTGAGCATCTTCTATAGTAAGTGACCCTCCATCTTGGACACGTGTACGCTTGGCTTTCCGACGCTTTGAAAGTGCTGTGTTGGCCTTTCGAAGGGTACGGACCTCCTCTTGTATAAGGGTCATTTGGTGCGCAATGCGGTCTGTACCCTTCACCAGCTGCTTTACAGCTGAAAAAATTGTTGTTGGGGAGCTTCCTTGATGAATTCCAATTCTATTCTGTACAAACTTAGACTGCAAAATTGCATCAGCTGGGGTTTGTGGCGTTTGAGGGACCCAAGGGTCAGCCTCTAGTAGGGGGGATCCAGTTGGTGTTGGCATCCGTAACTTGATATCAAGCTTTGAGAGAACTGCTTCTGGGTTGTACGGGACTAGGCCAGTACCTCGAAAGCCAGCTAGGATATTTTCAGTTGTCATTGTATGGTCGTGGGCAGCCTTGAATGCAATAAAGAACTCAATCTTAGTGATATGGGTAATAGAGGCCTTAATGAAGACCTCAAGTTCTCGACCATACATTCGCTTTAGTACACTAAAACACCCAACATCAAGAGGCTGGGTAAGATGTGAGGAGTGCGCAGGGAGACAGAGCGTAATAATGTTGTTCTCCTTGCAGTACATATCAAACTGGGCAGATAGGTGGCTCTCATGGCCATCTAGGACAATCATCCGCCAGACCCCTTGTGTTCGTACACGTGTATGCTGGTTAAAGTGTTTTATCCAGTCTAGACCTGTATCATTGTCGGTCCAGCCATTTGGTGAGGTCTTGATGGCCCAAGTAGGTGGAAGGCCGCACTCTGTGTACCAAGGCGCAAGGTGATGCTTGCCTTGTACAATCAAGTATGCAGGCACTACAAAGCCGTCTGCACTCACACATTCAATCGCTGTTGCCCATTCCCGATTACCAGACTGAAGCTGCTTTGCTCGGCCTTTTCGATCTGAGCTCGTAACAACCATATTCCCACAGATAACACCCATCATAAAGCCCGTCTCATCAAAGTTGTAGAAGTCAGCATCCTGGATGCTGTACTTCGCCTGCATGTTCTTTACCAGCTCAAACCACTTTCTTATACAATCAGGATCTTCGCAGAGGGCTCGCTGGAGGTCGTACGCACGAGAGAGACGCGTCTTAAGCTTTGGTTCATTGTGTACAAAGCGGTAGGGCCAGTTTTTTCCAACTGGGGGTTCGCGACGCGTCGCACGGAGGAGATTCGCTATATCTCGTACATCCTCAATTCGAGGTGGAAATCCTCGCGAATCTAGGTCAAGTACGTATCGTATGAGCTCCTCTTCCTCAATTGGGGTCAATGGACGTTGTTTGTCGCGTCTACCAGCTCGTGGTTGGCTTCCGTGTATGCGACGGGTAAGTGTTACATGTGGGACCTCATATAGCTGCGCAGCACGTCGGATGGACAGTTTGTGGGGTGATTTGGTAGCTTGAATGGCTAGTAAAACTTGGCCTTCATTAGCTTTCTGAGGCATCTTTTTGTTGTGGTGTGGTGGAGTAATTGGGTTTGAGGTTGCGATGCTATCGGAAAGTGTTTCATTTGGTGGGATGTTCCGTTTGGTGGTAAACCACGTTACATTACGCCATAACTCCCGAATTTCGCGACCTAACCATGATGTGTTATGGAATTAGCTTGATTCAATTAATAGGACTACTTCTTTTTAAAGAATTTAAGCCCCATTATTGTTCTGTGGCCTCTTTGCAATAGAAGAAGGCCTTGTAAGTGAAGGTAATTGATAATCACCATCGCTTTGACTTGGTGGTAGCCCTACTACGTCATTATCTAACTCTTGGTTGTTTACAAATGCGACCTCAACAAGTAAGGATTACAAGATTATTACCAGAATCATGTAGGTATGATCATATTCTCACACAAGAGACATTTTATGAACAAGTTCTATACACAGTTATCTCGACTCATAGCTCGTTCCGCTCAGTCAAGGATCCTGAATGGAAAAGGCTTGCTATCTTACAGAATCCTCACTATCCACTACCCTCAGCAACAACTATTCGAAACCTCTTAACAACAAAGCTCACACAAATCTAAGAAGAGATGCTACAAGATGTTGTGTAACGCTGACTTCTAAACGATAGAAGACACAGAGGTTTCTTGCGTAAGGTTGACTTGACAGAGGAGGCAGGGGATTAGACACAAAGGCTTTCCAAGTAACACGTTACAGTATTGTAAAGAATACTATATTGAGTTGAGCACGAAGCTCCTATCTAAGGAAATACTATCTACTTATATAGTGGCGTCGTGCCTCATGGATAATCTGGATAGTTGGCGGGTAGCTAGATATTCAGGATAGTTCGTGGATAGCTCAATATACAATATCCACTAGTTTCTGCAACTATCCATTAGCCCCGTCACATGGCAGCCTACCCTGCTTGCCCCCTGTGACTCACACGTCACGTTACTAGGCCCTGGCCCTGTAACCATGATGTCATGTTACTGTAGCCGTAACATGTTGTTCCTGGTTCAAAGATTGCATTATCGCTCGACTGTTGGTCAAGTGTTACTCGACTTTCGTTTATGGGTGTTATTGCATCGTTTATCGACCGTCATTAGAAAATACAAGAGGTCTTGATTGGCTTTGAACCTATATATACAGAGCATACTGGTGCTGAGTTATGTGGAATACTTGAAAAAGTTATCACAAGGCAGCATTTAGAAGGACGAATTATTACGACTGATAATGTGTCAAACAACACTTCGATGATGAGAGATGTGGAAATAATGCTTGATAGTATTGCGGACAACAAGCATTTTATTAGAGGAAAGGTACAACACATACCCTGCCTAGCTCACGTTATTCAACTTGCCCTTAGTGCTCTCCTTGGCTGAATTTGGATTACGCCAACAAATCAAGAGATCTTAATGAACTAGGAAGAAGAGAACTAGATGGATGGCCTTGCAAAGTTACAAAAAGACAAGGGTATCAGATTTAAACTTGGAAAGGTATATATTCTCTTGTTAGTTCTAGTAATCTTCTAGTAGCTTTTTCTAATATCTCATAGCTCTAGAAGCTCACTATCTTTGTTAATTCAATTAAAGGAATAGGTTTATGACTTTGCAAAAGGCAAACATGAACCAGGGTCAACCATCTCAGAGACTTCTTTGACTTATTCAAGATGTATCAACTTGATGGGATTTGACATGCCATATGCTTCTGCGAGCAGAGCAACTCAAGTCAATGTAAGGACAGAGGGCACCCAGCTCACAGTAATAGCATCTGAGAGTGCGAGTCGGAGGCTAAACGGATGCTATCCTATAGGTCTACTATGAAGGATACAAAAAAGATGAAGGGGGAACCCCGTTGAGTCTGTTTCCTTAAATACCCGAAACGGGCCCGACTCGGTTATCCCAACCCTAGCCCTGAACCTTCCAACGCAGCAGGTCTGCATCAACCCTGAACCCTACACCCTTACCGTCCCCCACTATAGTGTAACTCGCTATGTGCTCCTCTACTGGTTCGAAACCACACCGAGTCGGATTTCATGCTTGTAGTGACCGTAACAGCTCTGAGGCAGGTTCTTCGAGTATCTAGGTAAGGAGGCATCCTTACAGACTTACCCCTGAGTTCTCAGGCTCAACATTTGTTACAACTTGTCTAGACCACTTCACTACATCATACACCTGATTGCTACGTTGTGGAATAGTCTAAGCTACAACCTATATAAGTAGATAGTATTGAGCGAGTAGTGCGCAGCCTAATCGTCGGTGGTCGGCGAAAGCGAGTTGAAGCCCGAAAGCGAGATGAAGCCCGCCAGGGGTCTTGTACATAGCCGAAGAAGAGATTTACACACAAATTATATACGTTTCTCCCTTTCATCTATACACTTGTGACAAAACTGCTTCGTCGTCGTACTTGAAATCTAATACAATGGATGATGCCCTCCAATTCCTCCATGACAACCCTTCAGAAAAGCCTATAACTGCTGCACGAATATTCAATATAAATGTGAAGACCCTCAATACGAACCTCCGACGAGCGAAACTCAAAGCCCAGGCACCAAACCCTATTTACGGAGGCCAGAATAAGATACTTTCAGAGGCACAAATCAAGGCTATATACAATAATGTAGAGGATTCATATTTTGCGGGCTATGGGCCGTCAAAAGCGATGGTTTTTACAGCAATTGGCCACTTGCGGGCAGCGGAAATACCGCCTAAACCAGCACCTTCATGGCGCTGGTTTCAGAGATTTATAAAGAGCTCTTCGATCCTCTTTCGAGTTGTCAAAACGAAGCCAATTGCACGAGTCCGAGTTACGACCCATGATATTTCTGCGGTACAAGACTGGTTTGGAGTGTATTTGGCATGGTGTACTCAACACAATATCCAGCCACAGGATATTTATAACTTTGACGAGACTGGTTTTCGTGTTGGAGTAGCACCAGGGGAGGATGTAATAGTTCCTGTATCTATTACAGAAGTATGTATAATTCAGTACTTGTAACTTAATACAATTAAACTGACACTATTAAAGATGTATGTTCCAATGGCCGAAAACCGCAAATCTATTACCGTGATTGAGTCAATCTGTGCTGTTGGACAAGTGCTTCCACCAATTATCATTGTACAAGGACGACAACATATGGCATCTTGGTATAATGAGAAATTGACTGGCGATGAGCTTGTATTACTTTCAGACTCAGGATATACCAATAGCGAGCTCGCAATGCTATATTTGGAGCATTTTATTATTCATACAGGAGCTGGGCCTGATAAACCTCTAAAGGTCCTCCTTATGGACAGCCATATCAGTTATACAACACCAGAGTTGGATATACGGGCAACTTCAATGAATATCCATCCATATCCGCTTCCTTCGCATCTTACGCACATTATGCAGCCACTTGATGTTGGTGCTTTTCAACCTTATAAACACTGGCACAAGAAGGCAATTCAATATGCTATGCGTAATCTTGATATTGATTATAATATAGCTTCATTCTTTCAGGATTTGAACGAAATCCGCCAGCAGACGTTCAAGAAAGGAACAATCATTAGGTCCTTTCGTGAAGCTGGAATGTGGCCAATCAATTCTAAAGAAGCTCTCAAGAAAATGAAAGTTTATACGATTTGTGAGCGCACTCTTGATCCTCCACAAATTCCACAGACTCCAACAAAATTTGTGCATTCTGAGCTCAAATTACGGCACTGGCAAAGTAAAATACCATGTCTTTTGTCTAGTCCTTCAGCACGAGAATGGGATTCTTGGGCACGTGGTACAGAAAATGTACTTGTTCAAGGAGAACTGGCTATTCTACAGTATGATTTATTATCTACAAAAGTAGCTAATCAACAGAAGGCGAAGCTCAAAAGCCGCTCTGTCGCTCAAGCAAATACTGGTCCATTAACTGCTAAGGATGCATAGAAAAAGATTAATGACAAGGCTAGAAAAGACAAGGAAATTCAAGAGCGAAGGGCGAAATACAAAGCACGAGTAGTGCTTAATAAAGTCAAAAAGGAGCTTCATATTTGTGGAGTTGAGGCCCGTAGAGCAGAGCTTTCAAGAAAGCGGCAAGTTAGCCAGATGTTAAAGGCGAAGGAGGAGGTGCCTTCTGATTTACTTATTCCAATTCCAGATCCAGAAAAAATTGCGCAGGAATCAGAGCTTCAAGAAGAAGCCAATACTCAATTAATTTCAACGATGGGGTACGAATCACAGGCTGACGACGACGACGAGACGGGATTTATAAGATTCAGTGGATTGGATACAGACCTATTTGCGGACAGGGAGGACGAAAATTTAGACCCAGGGTTGTTTTAAATTTGGGAATAGCTTTAATTTTATCATATGATTCAATCACTCAATTGCTGGTATAGTTGTTTAGATAGTGGTTGTATTAGATTCTACATAGTTATGATATCTGGTAGGCTTCAACTCGCTTTCAGGCTTCAACTCGCTTTCAGGCTTCAACTCGCTTTCAGGCTTCAACTCGCTTTCAGGCTTCAACTCGCTTTCAGGCTTCAACTCGCTTTCAGGCTTCAACTCGCTTTCAGGCTTCAACTCGCTTTCAGGCTTCAACTCGCTTTCAGGCTTCAACTCGCTTTCAGGCTTCAACTCGCTTTCGCCGACCACCTGTAGGGTGGTCGGTGCGAACACCGACGATTACCTAGAGGGATGATGGTCCATCGGCTGTTCCCGATTATCCCTCCTAGATGATAGGCGGTCCACAATTTTTAGATAAAGTACCTAGTACCTACTACCTAGTAGTGAGTGAGTGGCGCGATGCTCGGGCTGATCATCTTAATTCCGTCCACATCGCCAGTTCTCACTTTCCTCAACTATAGCTATCATCTATCATCCTCTCTATTATGAGCCATATCCTGACACCTACCGTGCCTTCTACGTTGCCGTGCCTACTACGGTACCGTGCTTCTACGGTACAGTCTCTTATCTGATGGTCGATCGTAGTAGTCGGAGGGTTTCTGCAATCAAACCTGACTGAAATGTTGGCCCAGTGATATCTGGTAAAGGTTTCATCGGACCACTTGGTGGGGAGAGGTCATCGATACCATCGGTCAGGGGTGAGAGCCTTACAATGGAGCCAGGCGGGTTGCTTTACCTATTCCCAATACAAATAAAATACCTACCAACCAAAACTACAGCCTAAATATTGCACAAGACGCTAGTCCAGCTACAGTTATGATGTCAGGACAAACAGATCCTGGATCTTGTATACAGCCACGCGACCAGTTGGACACTACACTGCAAGCTCATTCATCATCATTCAGGGTTCCGTTTCTTCCCTTATCTGTTCTAAAAGCTCTGTCCTATATGGCTTCGTCCAAAGTTGTAGTCTTTGTCTCGCAGAGTTGTCCCAGTTTCATCGACATCTTGCGCTGTGGGTGCCACTATGTGGTCGTACGTTCAATATCGAAGGATTGGGAAACATGCCACGGAGGAAATAAGGAAGACGTCTCGCATGGCTAGCGACCACAGTAGTCACGCCGTGGAAGACCTTTTGGCCGTCGCAAGAGGGAGGGCACCGTTATCCGGTGGCCTTTCTGCATTGCCGTTAGAGGGCGGTAGGTCCTCGGCCAATCGAGAACAGCACGATAGAAGGAAAAAGTCAAGCAACAAGATCACGGTGCGCATCTCTGGAGAAGACGACCCTCTTGACCCGCGCAATTGGTCACTACTGTCAAGATGCAAGAACATTGCCATCTTGTCCCTCTTGATCTTTGTCCAGGCATGGGCTGGCGCTGCCGGGTCTATAGCGAATACAGCAGCCAGCCAGGAGTTCCATGTTGGAAAAGTCGCAGAGAACCTATCAACTGCCATGTATCTTTTTGGTATCGGCTCTGGCTCGCTCTTTGTGGGCCCCCTGGCAGAAACGGTTGGAAGAAATCCAACGTATCTTGTGGCAACATTTGTATACCTCTTGTTTGTCCTTGGGTCGGCCTTGACTCCCACATTTGGTGGGCAAGTCTTCTGCCGCTATTGTGTTGGTCTCTTCTCTAGCGCAACATTGGCCATCAATGGCTCGAGCGTAAGAGATCAGTTTCGTCCTGTTAAAAGAGCCTTCGTATTCCCGGTTATTGCCTGGGCTAACGTTGCAGGTACTGGTCATCTGTCGCGCTTTTTCTTTGGCTTCACTAACATTTGTTCTGGCTATAGCTCCTGTTATATCACCTATCGTAGGTGGCTGGATATTATCAAACAACCAGCTGGGTTGGCGTTGGACCGAGTGGGTAACATTAATCATCTCCAGCGGAGCGTTCCTTATTGCGCTCTTGTTTTTACCGGAAACCTATCTTCCAATTCTTCTCGACTGGAAAGCAAAGCACCTTCGCCGTGTGACTGGAGATTCACGATACGTTTCGGAGCACTCTGAGTCAGCCTCGTATGTCAATAGAATGAAACACATCATCAGACTTCCTGTTACATTCTTTAGGACGGAACCAGTTGTTGCCGTATTTGGAGGATACCTTGTTCTTCTTTACACCCTCCTGTTCACTTTTCTTTCGGGTTTCGACTACATCTTTAAACAAACCTATCAATTGTCTACGAGTCTCACCGGTGCATGCTTTGCCGCCATTGCAGCTGGCTCAACAGCTTTTACACTCTGCGCACCTGGGTTATATAGCTGGGCGCGTAGGAAGACGGAATATGTCCACAGATCCTCCATAAAACCCGAGTTTAGACTGTGGCCCGCGATCTTGACCGCGCCGTTGCTTCCCATTTCTCTTTTTTGGCTCGGCTGGGCCAGTAACCCGACCATATCGATCTGGTGTGGTCTCGCGGCTTGCTTCGTATTTGGCGTGGTGATCATAGCAATCTATGTCAGTACCTATGAGTACATTATTGATAGCTATGGCAACCATTCAGCGATAGCTCTTGCGAGCATTACTATGGTGCGCTACTTGATTGCAGGTGGTATGGTCATAGCAGCACGTCCCATGTATGAAGGGATTGGCGTGCATTGGACATTGACTTTCCTAGGTTGTATCGCGGTGATATTGGCCCCCGCACCACTTATTTTCTGGCGATATGGTGCGAAGCTTAGGGAAAAGAGTTCGTACGCAAAGGGAGATGCAGAGGATACATAGCAGTCAAAAGATAGTTTTAAGTTAAGTTGTACGAATAGACTCTCTATATTCTTATGGGGCAATCTTTAACAGACAGTGTATTAGATAGTATTATACTTTTTTGTAACCAGTGAGTATACGATACGACGCACTAGCACTGGTTAATACGATACGGAGCCCGTATACTGGCCGTATACGGGCCGTATTAACCACGTGCCCTCCACATACGCCCTTACTCACTCCCTACCCGCCATAACTTCTCTTCTCGCGCCCATTGACAGACAAGACGCTAAATACACACTGTTAGCCGCTGCATATCATTCGTAACCACTAGGGCAGATTAATATGGCGTTGTAGATACTGTCTAAAGGAGTATCTTGAGTCTAGCGGAACGAAGATTATTACAAGGCACGTAAAAGAACATGACATCGATATATCCTCTACTTAGGAAGCTCGAACTACCTTAATTTAAAGCAGCATCGCTAATGCTTTTGATAAAGCTAAGGATGCGAATTATAAACGCTACTGTCTCTCTACTATTACAACTAGACCCTACTGTTGTTAAGCAGCTATATGTACGATGGATTACAACTTGTAGAGTCCCTTTCTATATAGCAACACTATTAGAATTTAGGGCATTACTCTACTACCTTAATCTAGAGATTGATAACTAGCTACTAAACTCTATTCTAACAATACAGACCTGGATGTTACATACATACGAGGCTCAAAAGAAACAAATCAAACGTAATGTACAATCAGCTCTCTCAAAAGCCCTTGTAATTCTAGGCATAATCGCACACTATGTATCCGAAACTAGCCAATTAGAATGCTCTGTTCTTGCATTACAAGAACTAGATTATTGGTGAGCAGCATTATAGTAATATTTATAGTAATTAGCTAACATAACGTACATGTATAGCGAAAGCGCCAAACAAGCGAAAGCGCCAAAATGATGCGGTGACCAAACCCCCCAACTAAATGTTAAATTCCTCAACAACAAAACATGCCCCATAAAAACGATGAAAGCCAATTAGTGCTAGCTATCCAGGCTATGCAAAGCGACCCAAAGTTACGCCTTCGAGTTGCTGCTAGGATCTATTCTGTGGACCACCGCAAGCTAGGTCGTCGTCTAGAAGGTGTACCTTCACGACGCGATATCCAAGCCAACTCACGGAAATTAACTAACCTAGAGGAGTCCGTCCTTGTTCAGTATATACTCGACCTAGCTGCCAAAGGGTTTCCTCCTCGGCTGTCTGTTGTTGAAGATATGGCAAGTCGACTACTTGCAACACGCGACGCGTCACGCGTTGGGTCGCGTTGGGCTTCAAACTTTGTTAAGCGGCGTGTAGAGCTCCAGACACGCTTTCAGCGCAAATACGACTACCAGAGGGCTAAGTGCGAAGATCCAGAAGTTATTAATGGCTGGTTTGAGCTTGTGCGTAACACAATTGCGAAATATGGTATCGATGAAGCAGATATCTACAACTTTGATGAGACTGGGTTTATGATGGGCGTTATCTCAACTGCTATGGTTGTAACAAGCTCAGACGGGCGGGCAAAAGCAAAGAAGGTACAGCCTGGTAATCGGGAATGGGTTACAGTAATCCAAGGCGTTAGTTCTCAAGGTTGGGCAGTACCACCATTTATCATTGTTGCAGGCAAAAACCACCTTACATCTTGGTATGAGAATAGTGGATTTTCAAGCGATTGGGTGATTTCTGTTACTGAAAATGGCTGGACTACAAACGAGAGAGGCATGGATTGGATTCAGCACTTTGAGAAGCATACAAAGGCCCGGAGTGTTGGTGGTTATCGCTTGTTAGTCCTTGATGGTCATGAGAGCCACCACTCAGATGAGTTTGAGGAGTACTGCAAGGAACACAACATTATTACGCTTTGTATGCCTGCTCACTCTTCTCATCTACTCCAGCCACTTGATGTTGGCTGTTTCGGCCCGTTAAAGCAGGCCTATGGTCGGCAAATTGAAGATATGATGCAGGCTCATATTTCTCATATTACAAAGGATGACTTCTTTCCTGCCTTCCACGCTGCATTTAACACTACAATGACGGAAAGTAACATTTGAGGCGGGTTCCGAGGGGCAGGGCTTCTTCCATTTGACCCTGAGAGAGTGATATCTACACTTGATCTTAAGTTAAGGACACCAACGCCTCCAAGCTCCCGCCCAGGTACTGCTCAACCTTGGGTTTCTCAGACACCAAACAACCCAATTGAAGCTATGTCACAGTCTACATTTATTAAAACTCGGATTTCACGCCATCAAAATAGCTCTCCAACCTCAATCTATGCAGCTGTTGACCAGTTTACAAAGGGTGCATCGCAAATAATGCATCAATTAGCACTGCTAAAGGGAGAGAACCAAAACCTACGACAGGCAAATGAAGTACTAAGCAAGCGCCGGAGAGCTAGGAAAACACGACTACAGCAAGGAGGATCACTTAGTCAACAAGGGGCGCAAGAGCTACAGGATGAGAGGGATGTTGTGCAGCAGGTAGAGCAGGAAATAAGGGCAAGCCGTGGTCGGAAGCCAAGGGAAGAAACCCGTGCCCGTCGCTGTGGCAAGTGTGGTGAGACTGGGCACAATGCGCGCACGTGTCAGATTGTAATAGACACCTCTGAGGAAGAGGACTCCGAGTAGTTTCAATTGATTTCTAATGTTGTGGTAGATTTATCGCAATGTTTGTCGTGAGGGTAGATAATTTTGGCGCTTTCGCTTGTTTGGCGCTTTCGCTATACATGTACGTTAGTAGATATTGAAATATAAAGACCTAGTCTAAATTTCAGTGCTAAACTAATATCTTAAGGACTACTAAATAGATTATTCCTAAATGATTCGGTACAAATTCAACTAAATAGGAAATGCTAGAAATACATTTTTAATATATATTATGAAGTTGTTGTTGAGTTATTATCTTGTAAATTTCTCAATTTTAGGTGGGAAGTTCAGTGATCACTTCGCCCTAGGTGATCACTTCAACTGTATATGTTATATCAGTGTGTAGCAAATCGTGATTCAGCATGATTCACCCCAAATCAGATTCGATTCATGATCTGATTTGAGCTATTTCTTGATGGTTTGAATCATGATTCAGCAAGTATTCGAATGATCCGAATACTTGCCAAGATGTCTAGGATGTCCAAGCATCTAGCAGTAAGGACTTACTGTCGTCCTTAATATATAGCTTTTTAGATTGACATTTAATACATTCAATCATTAAATTATCATCATTATGAGTGATTCTGAGTTCTCTAATGCCCCTGAGGATCTTGATGATCATGTTATTTATGAAGATAACAGTAATGATGGTGTATTCTCATCGCCTCGCTATCATTACCACAAACCAGTACCGCAAACAGCTACCAGTCACTCATTCTGCTCTTTTTACAAAGAATCTATATTCTCGTACTAAGAGGCTCTCCTAATAAGATGCAATATGCTTGTACATAAGAAGGCTGTTCATATATGCCTAAAGCTAAACCAGTATCGCAAAATACAACAAGCAATTTATAGAGACATATTGAGCTAAAGCATCCAACTATCTTTGAAGAATCTTCAAAATCTACTCGAAAACTTCAGAATAAAGACAATATCCGCCCTTAGAACCATGCATCTTTGTCTAGACTCTTCAAGCCAAATCCTCATGGTACAACTCTAGTGTCAGGCACCAAATTCTGAGAATTGTTACTTGCATTCATCATTATAAATAATCTACCTATGAGATTAGTAGATAAATTCTCATTCTAGCAGCTAGTACATTACCTCAATCCTTCAGTCTTGAGTATTTCTTCAACGTCTTTGAAAGGGACCTACATAGGCAATTTTGTTATCATTGAGGGCAATTACTGTAAGGACACAGGGCACCCAGCTCACAGTAATAGCATATGAGAGTGCGAGTCAGAGGCTAAATGGATGCTATCCTATAGGTCTACTATGAAGGATACAAAAAAGATAAAGAGAGGAACCCCCGTTGGGTCAATCTCCTTAAGTACCCGAAACGGGTCCGACTCAGCTAACCTGCCTTCACTCTCACCACGTGACCGTAACTTGTCTGACTCAGATACCTTTCGTCATTGAGGGAGAGGGACCCCGTTGGGTCAATCCCCTTAAGTACCCAAAACGGGTCCGACTCGGCTAACCTGCCTTAACTCTTTTCTGTCACTGAGGGACAAGCATCCTTACAATTACAACTGGAACTGCAGAATCATATTACAGCAGGTGGGTGATTATCACTTACGACTAATGCTTAGACTGCTATAAAACAGATCATGCTGCTGTTACCGTACACTGGATATCAAAAGATTGGGTCTAACATTCAAGAATCCTAGATGTGATAAATGTCACGATTCACCAAGGCATAGGGCGCCAGTTGGGTATTATGAATTAAACTCAATCTAAAGAAGAAAGGAAAGACAAGAGGAGCACTCGAGCAGTGGCTCGATCTATATACAGTTATGTTGTTGTGGAGTGAATTCTCTTTAGCGAGACCAGTTCTGAGAATTCACTCCACAACTGAAAACTTCACTCCAACTCCGGAAAGCTCCCCACACCCCTGAACCCTCACTCAAGCTGCAAGGCGCACTTGATATCGTAACAATAAATCTTGAACTATTCATTCTGGTGAATACCTAGCTTAGCAATTACTCTCAGTTACAGATGATTTCAAAATTACACATGGAGTCTTTACTATCACAAGAGACAATGCATCAAATAATACAGCAGTGCTAAACCAATATGAATCAAGAGCAGCAGATGTTCTAACAACAACAAATCAGCCATGGAGCTTTACTGTTAAAGATGGCGATGTACGATGTATGGCACATATTATAAATCTAGCTGTTCAAGCAGCTCTTACTCGAGTTCAAGAGGGTTTAGCTTATACTCGGATTAATGCTATCTATTCCAAAAAAGAAGAAGTTGTTGATGCTTTAACAAAGCTCCGCAAGCACATCTATGTGTTTAGGAATCGTCGAGGGTGAAGGATAGTCTTCATTCTCACGCTATAGCTGCTGGAATCAAGCCTGTTACTCTTACAATTGATATGCCAGTACGATGGAACTTAACATATCATATGCTTCAAAATGCATTGTCAATGGAGGCACCAATTGTCACGGTTCACCAAGGCATAGGGCGCCAGTTGGGTATCTAGAGAAGGAAGGAAAGAGAAGAGGAGCACTCGAGCAGTGGCTCAATCTATATACAGCTATGTTGTTGTGGAGTGAATTCTCTTTAGCGAGACCAGTTCTGAGAATTCACTCCACAACTGAAAACTTCGCTCCAACCCCGGAAAGCTCCCCACACCCCTGAACCCCTACTCAAGCTGCAAGGCGCACTTGATGTCATAACACCAACAATCACAGCGCTTTGTGCATCACAGACTCTTGATATAAGCATGCGTGATATCTAGATTTCTTCGAAAGAATGGGAATTACTTCATGCTCTTCCAGAGTTCTTTGAGATTTTTAAGCGTATCTCAGAAAAGATGCAAGCAGATGGGTATCCAACACTTAACTACTGTGTTCCATATTATCTACGACTAATAGATAAAATGATCAAGAAGACTGTTAGGCATACATGTATCAACGAAGCTTGTACTGCTGCATTCAACAAATTAGACGACTATTTCTCACTTGCAACAAGCCAACGGTCAAGCCATTCAACAGTTGCAACAGTATGTGATCCTCGGTTTAATTTTAGTATATTTGACTTCTATTTGCCTGAAAGCTTTTATAACACAAGCAAAGAACGAGCAAGAGCACAGTTTGCAGCTTGTTATAACAAGTATAAAGCACGGGACAATGATATTCGAGCAGAGGAAATGGATGCTATGCTTGATAACGAGGATGAGGATATACCTCAAGAAGTGGACTCTGAGGATGAGATGTTTAAGCATCGAAAGCGTATACTTCAAGAGGTTGAATGGAGACGGTGGCTTAATGAGCCAGGAGTTGATAAGCCTGAGACTAATATCCTTAAATATTAGCAAGCAAAGCAGTATCAGTATCCAATAATGCACAAATAGCTCGAGACTATTTAGCTATTCCAGCAACATCAGCAGCATCAGAACGGGTCTTCAAGGAGCTGACATTGTCACAAAGAAAAGGAATAGACTATTGCCTTCAACAATTAGATATTTACTATGTCTACGGGATTGGGGGATAATTGTCGACGATGAGGATGTCGAAGATGCAAGTGAAGATATAGGTTAATAGTTAAATATTTCCATATTTTTCAATATTCTCAAAGATTCGAATCATGACTCGAATTAGATGAGTCATGATTCGGCGAATACCTCAAAAATATGAATGAATCACCGAATCGCCGAATTGTATTCGGGAGGTGATTCGCCGGGCACTGCGTTATATGCTTTAGTTTTCAACACACCATCTTTATTATCTAGTATCCGAAACCACAATAAAGAGCCATACGAAATTAAGAAAAGGTGGACAGGACGGTCGAACTATACGCAGCCTTTACAGTACTGTCCATGGACAATGGCACAAGGGACGCAATTATTATCACCTTTGACAGGAATCCTAGCCAATTTATTCTGGCACATAGTAAAGCACAGTGGAGAGCGTGCTTCGGGTATTCAGGGGGGGTATCTTATGTGACGGAGCTGAAGCTTAAGCATGACGAACAGCGAGACATATCTTTAAAACTTCGCAAGGAACGGGACAGGGCACTCAACGATCGAAAAAAGTATTGGGACGAACGCGATAAATATTGGAGGCAACGAGACAGTATTAATACAGATCACTTTGTACTGAATTGGAACGAGATCGAGCTCTAGGGGAACGAGGTAATGCTCGCAAGCAACGAGATAGAGCATATGAAGAACGCGACGAGCTCCGTAAGGCGAAACTTAAGAGTGATGAGAAATATGACAAGTTGAGCCAGCTGTTTTTGGAAAGACACCAATGTCTCTAGGGGTTAAAGTCTTCGAGGGGCTTACGGAGTTCATGGCGGAAAAAGACAGCACGTACGTACTCTAATTCCATCGATCCCCTGTTACTAATTAGAAAACCATCGGGTTTAGATATATTCAGCTCACTTGTGTTCATCTTTGTCCGTCTTTTTTTTGGAGCGCACTAGGGGTTGGTTAGTGAGGACGGCCTGGTTGGATAAGAGGGTGGTTTTAGGTTTGGATGGCTGTGTGTAGCGGGGGGTGGGAGGGGGGCGGCGAACTGGTAACGTGAGATGACGGGTATGTGTGCTGCGTACGCACCGATATACACTCATGTGCATCGGGAATAATAAGTCTATTATGCATATCCATATAATCATCATCAGAAAATCAGAAAAACCTCCCATAAATACGAAACCCCCACGTAAACACCTCCAATCAAAAAGAAAAAAGCGTCCATTGCAACCCCCCTTCTTCTCCCCTTAAAGGTATTTCAGATCATAAAATCTTAAACCCTCTCAACCCTCTCCCCCGCATCCCCCGCCGTCTCCCCATAATAATCCGGATTCACATGACCCGGCCCCGCCGGCCCCCCCGGCGCCGGCCCTGAATGCGCTGAATGCGCCTCATACCCCCCCATCGGCGGGGCATGGTACGCGCCCGATGGCGGGACAGGAGGTGGTGGGAAGGCGGTTGGGGCGTTGGGGTCGGGGTGTGCGCCGTGGTTTGCGTCTGGGTATGGGTGCGCGTCGGGGTAGGGGTGGGAGGGAGGTTGGGTGGAGTGGTTGGGGTAGTAGGCGCCGCCGGAGGCGTGGGGGGGGGAGGGGGAGTAGTCGGCTGAGCGGTGGGAGGAGGGGTAGGAGCCCGATGAGTAACCTAGGGGGTGTTAGTTGGTGTGCGTGGATGAAAGGGGTAGACGGGGAGTTAGGCGGGGTAGGTAGATGAATAAAAGAATGTGTTATGTCAGGGGTATACGCACGTCTCTCCCTCGCAGCCTCCTCCTCCCTCCTCTTCCTCCTCGCCTTATACTTCCTCACCCCCACCGCCGCAGCCGTCGCCGCCGCCGCCCCACCCAAGACATCCCTCGTGCGACTCTTACTCCTGCTTCGACTCCTGCTTCGGCTCAGGCTTCGACTCAAACCCCTGCTACGGGTATTAGCATCAAACTCAGATCTTCTCCCAAAATCCCTCCCCCGCACCCTTGGCACGGGCGCGGCAATCCCGAGAACGGGACTGGGATGATATTCTTCTTCACGACGACCAGTAAGGAGACCGGGATCCGCGTACCCTCTCTCTAGCCCGCGGCTGTGCAGCGGCTGCGCGCCGTACTCCACCAACCCGGGGCGCTCGTAATCATCATCATACCTCCTACCGCCGCGGCTGCGGCTACGACTCTTACTACGGCTCAGGCTCGATACGCCTCTCTCGCCCTCCTGCTTCGCCTTGCGGCGCTCATACAACCCCGCGGCTGCTGCTGTCGCCAGTCCCGCAGCCGCGAGCTCCGCTCCCGTCCGGACCCGGGATTTACTCCTCGTCCGCTCGCCCTTGCGGGATTTAGAGCGCGCGCGCACAGCCTGCACGATCGCTAGCGCTGCTGCCCCCGCCGCTCCGGCCTTCGCAATGCTCTGCCGCCGATTCTTCGGATCGGAGTGACGGCCCTCGCTCGCTGCGCGGCCTGCGCGGCTGCGGCTGCGCGTGCGGCTGCGGCCGCGGCCTTCCTCTGCGCGCGTGGTATCGTGGCGGTCTTTGAGGTATTTACCTGCCGCGAGGGCAGCGACGCTTAGCGCTGCGGCACCGAGGCCCATTTTAAGTTTCGAGTGCTCTGGGCTGGGCGAGCGGCGATGGCGCGAGTATGAGCGCGACTGCCGGCGGTGTCCGTAGTGGCTGTACGCGCGTGTTGCGAGCTGGGCACCGATAGCGCCGAGGGCAGCGCCGGAAGCGAGGTTCGCGCCTTTGTTCTGGCGGACGCCGGATTTGGATCGCCGGCGCGAGATGAGTGCTGCGGCAGCGGCGCCAGCAGCGGCGCCCTCAGCGAGGCGCAGCTTATGGTGCGGGCTGTGGGAACGGGAGCGGGAGCGGCGGGTGGTGCGGCGGACGACTTTCTCTTCGTTGCTCCACTCGCCGGAGCTGTCGGAGCCGCGGCGGCGGATCACCTTGCGCTCGGAGACGTAGTCTTCTTCTGGACGGCCGGTGTCACGGACCTCGTGCCGGCGATAGTAGACGTCTTCCTCTCTGCGCGGTTCGCGCTCGCGCTCGCGGTGGACCACGACTGGCTGCGGTGCGGGAGGGGCCTCGGGCCGCTTGTGTCTAATCACCAGTGGAGCTGCCACAGGATCGGGTCGTCCGTAGTACTCGGTTTCGCGGGTGACGAGATCGTAGCCCGGCCCACCGCTGCGCTCAATGATGCGCACATCCTCCTCTCTCTCCCAGGTCTGTTCGCGCTCCCACAGTCGGAGGGGCTGTTCACGTTCCCGCTCCCGCTCGCGCTCATACACCAGTGTCCGGCTACGCGCCGGCTCGTTCCGCCCGTGGTTGGATTCGCGCTCGCGCTCGTAGTCATGGGAGCGCGGTGCGTACTCGAAGCGCTCGACGCGCGTGTCGTGGGTGACTTCGATGCGCGGGCGCTCGTAGTCGGATTGCGGGGAGGGAGAGCGTGCGACGCGATAGCGATGCACGGTTGTCTTGTAGGAGCGCTCGTCGTCGGAGTAGTCGTCGTCGCGGTAGCGCGAGCGCGTGCGCACAATCTCAGGCATGGCTGTGGTGGGTGTGAGTGTGAGATGTCGGTGTTGTGAGAAGATGAGGAGATGAAGACGTGAGAATGTGAAGAGGAGGGAATGAGAGATGACGGTGATGATGGTGGGGTGGAATTCCCGCAAGGATATTTAAGTGGAGCCTGGAATGCCTGCTCAGCCCCTGTGTGGGGATTCTGGAACCGTGGAAGAAGGAAAAGAGGCAAAGATAGCGGGGCTTTGCTGACAGATGTGTGTATATTTATTTATTCGGGGAGGAGGAGGGAGGCCGAGAAAAGGAAGGATTTTACCTGGTCGGATAGACTTGGCTGGGTCTCTGTCTGTCCGTCCTTGGTCCTCTGTCCTCGCCTTTCTTTTGGTGTGGGAAGGAATGGCGGGGTGTAGTGAGAGATAGACAAGGATGTGGCGATTTGGCGAGGAGCTGTGAGACTTGATTCGGAGAGGGCTGGAACAGTGATGCAGTGAGATAGTAGACCGAAGAAGATGTCAGCAAGGCAGTGGGTGAAGCAACGTAAGGCACAACGGCACCGCCGTCTTCGTTCACAGCAATGCGGATGGTGAAGACGAGCTGGAGCTGGAGGTGAAGATGAAGATATGTATGAATGACAGAGGGAGAGTATGGACGACGAAACAAAACGCCGCCGTCAGCACCAGTAGTAGTACTCCACTGCCCTGCGCAGTGTGCTCGGGTGAATAATCAATCCATCCAAACAATGGAGAGTCCACATCCACAGCCGATGCGGTGCAAGTCATCAGCTGGCCCCTCCAGGGAACCGGGAAGAGCCCATGTACTGGTCGTACTCGATGCCTGGGCGCTCTTGGTCAGTTCTCCTCTATCCACTCAAGGAAACCTCAACTCACCCAATCACCCAATCGGCCTATCACCAGCCACCCGGTCTGCATAGTTAACTTAGTAGTACTGTAGAGTCTTTCTGTCGCAGGGCTGATGACGCACCTGTCTGTGGCGATCCGGTGTGGAGAATCAACGATCAGCGATCAATGGGTAGCACTGGCAGTTCTAGCTTGGCCTTGACGCAGCCTTGCGCGTGGTGTATTGAGGGTCGGTCAAGTCTCAGGTGTGAAGAATCGACTCGAGAGTCGAGTATTGTGCGTCAAGAACCCAGTTCGAGTATGCATGAACGCATGTATGTATGTGTATATATGTGTATACGTCTGGCTGCCTCTGTGCATGTCTGTCTATCTTCTGTGTGTATGACTGCCTTTCATCTGCATGAATGTATATACCCAGTACGATAAATCACATCCACGTATGTTTCGGCGATGATGAGGGCGTATTGAAAGAGCCTCATGGGTGAGATGGTGAGATGGTGAGATGGTGAGATGGTGAGATGGTAAGATGGTGAGATGGTGAGATGGTGGGTTGTGGGATGGCGCGGTTAACTTCATTTCTGGGAGTAGGTGTGCACGATAGTACAGCACACAACCACCTTTCTCACCGCTTCTGGTCGCCCTCATACTTTACCGTACTGTGCATCCCAACAAACCCCATCTATCGTATAAGTTCACGTAATATAATATATTATATTACACTATACACTATACCGAAATATCTCCTCCTACCGCTCGTCCAATATAGGACCATTCACACCCATCGACCGGCCAGCTGGAAACGGCACGGCCTGCACCGGTCAGACCGGGGGCTCACTACCGACTGCCGCCTAGGACCACGGGTGATACAACGCAGTGCCGTGAATTGGGGATTGGCCCAATGCACGAGATAAGCTGGACGATTGGCAAGGCTGAATTCTCCAGACCGTGGTGGTGTGTGTCTGAAAGCTGCATCACGAGCCACGCCGAGGCAGAGCACGCTGATAAATCCAGCTCGCCGATAGGAGAGGCGAACTGTTTGACTTAACTCACAGTTCGCATTGTGTCGTGGTAGATAGCTAGATGGAGTAGCTAGCAACGTCGATATGGCCCATTCGCAGCCTTGACTTTTCGTCTCCCTCATCTCATTGCATTGATATCCCATGAAAATCGAAAATATCCCCCCCATCAAACGCCCATATTCTAACAATACTCCTACTTCCCCTACCCAGGTCGCCAATTTACGCAACCTTAGTCTTCTTCCCACCCTCCTCGTTTCCCTCACCCGCCTCCTCAGCGCTCCTCTTCCCATTCCCGTTCACCTCCTTCTTCTCTTTCCTCCTCACCATCCCCGACAGATCGGTCGCGCCCTTCTTGGCCTCCTCAACGCGCTGCGCAGTTTGTGCCGCCGTCTCGCCGAGCATCGAACCGATTAGGCCAGAGGAGCCGGCGCCGGGGGGGCCGTTGAGGGCGGCGCTGATGTCGATGGGGGGTGCGCGGAGGTCCGTAAGCTGCGGGGGTTAGCTGGTGTCTAGATAGCTGTACTAGGAAACGGGAAAACATACCCTCTGCTCCATCTCCGCCACGATCTCCTTGACATCCTTGATCTGTCTCGCTGTCTCATCCGTCTGCTCCTCCTCGGACTCTCTCGCTGCCAGCTTGAGTTTCGTGCTCTCAATCGCGCTCTGCATCTCATCGGCGGCCTCTCCCCTCATCTCTTCATCCACCACTCCCTCCTTAGCCGCATCCGCAGCCTCCTCTCCCTCCTCCCCAGTAGTCGTCATACTAGCAAACTCCAGCGCCAAACTGAGCTTATAATGCGCCTCAGCGATCACCTCGGATGCCTTCTCATACAGCTCCTTCTTCAAACCCAGCGCAGCCTTAAAGTCCGCCACGGCGCTCGGGAAGCGCTCGCTCTCCAGCGCGATCTCAGCGAGCAGATCGTGCGTATCAGCGATGCGCTCCTTGACGTGTCGCGTAAGCGAGTTATCGCCCGTATCTGCTTCCTTGCCCTTCCCCGCGTCTTCGGCAGGGGCAGCAGCAAGTTCCTCAAGACGACGCGTAAACAGCACGCGCGCCAGATCGAGAACCTCAAACGCAGTAGCGAGCTCGTCATCCTCTTCCTCCTCCTCCTCCGCCTCAGCATCCTCATCCTCATCCGAGTCCTCAAAGTTCTCATCACCTGTAAACTGGAACAGCGGTTTGTTGTCCACCCCCTCCTCCGCTTTCTCCTCCGCCTTCTCCGCTCCCTCAGCAATAACCGCCAACCCCGCACCGCCCTCCTGCTTCTTCGGCTTCACATCCTTCTTCTTCTTCTCTCCCCCCGCCCTGCCGCCAAGCACATCGCTCTTGCTCTGCCCGACCCTGAACAAGCTGCGTCCGTACAGGAACAGCACCTCCGCGTTCGCTGGGTCCATCTCGCCATTCAGCTCGGCCTGCAGCTCTGCGGCGCGCGCGAATAGGTCTGCGGCCTCGCCGTACTGGCGCTGCGCGTAGTGGCTTGTGCCTTTGGCGCTGAGGTCCGCAAGGGTCACGAGAGTGGTGTTGTGCGCTTCGGTCTCGTTGTAGTGCGGGGTGCCGCCTTCAGAGGCGGGTGTGCTGATGCCGGTGGATGGCATGGTGGCGGTTGTGGGGTGGTGCGCGCGGTTGCTTGTCAGGTGAGGTGTGTGCGGTTATTGTGGTCAATTGGTTTGGTGGTGTGTTGTTTTGGTCTTGTAGATCGCGGTGAGGTGCGCGCTGGGGTCGATTGAATGGTGGATTGCGTTGTTGGAAGTGGTCAAGAGGTCCAGTTTGGAGGTTGGTGGTGGGGGCAATGGATGACGCCGTGCATTTCGTCGCGACCAGCTCTTAATGGGCGGCGCGTCACTGGAGCTCGAGTGGAGCTCGGCACGTGACGTTGATATAGATTGGCAGACTAACTACCTTTGGTAACTTGCTTGTACTGAGTTCACCTCGAACTCACCAGCAAGTGCGAACTATATTTCAACTATCTTCCCAGTTCATGTTACAGCTTCAGTGTTAATATTGATTTGAATTTAAATTTGAATTTTATCAACATAACCCGAACGTTGCCATTATCTGAGACTTTGCCACTGGCCGCCTATGGCTTCCTTCAAGTGAACTGAAGAGATCTCCGCCCTTGATACCCCCTATCTTCTCATATTAACACCAGCCTCATGAGACGATATCATGGCGAGAATGGCCTTCAGTATACTCAAAGTTGATGTGCGTGCTAGGGCCGTAGTCCTACTGTTACATCCGGTGGTAGCTACGATGCTGATCCGAGGTCTAGTTTGGGATACACGAAACTAACGAGAACAGATAACTTCCACTTATGCCGTCGTCCTTCATTGGACTGGAAAAGAAGGGCGGGACGCGCTAGGGGAGAGGCAAAGATATGCATATTCAGCTCGCCTCTGAACCTACTTGCACTACCTACATGAGACTGTGTAGCGTTGGCTGTACTACTGGTCCGTCGGTAAATATTATTTAATGCTGATGATAGTGTGCATTTTTTTGGTCCATTAACTAGGAGTGTATGGTTGAGATATTGTTCATTTAAGTTGGACTTCCTCCCCCTTTTCCTTACGCAAAAACACGCATCTACTATTTCGATGGGATTGTTAATAATATGGAGGGGAAGGCAATTACGATGCCCAATGCCATGTCTCCACGAAGAGGACGGCGGGGTCTTGTGGAAGCATACAAAGGGTATGACCGGGGCCGTCGTGGCTGCTCGATCCCGCGTCTTAGTTATACAGACTACTATGAGTCTGGGAAACTACGATTATATCATGGCTTGAAGATTCGATCAGGCTGCCGGGCTAACATATGAGATCAGTGCAACAGGAATCCTGTCCACTAGTCTCATGGATCCTGGGTCATCATCGCGATGGGGCACTGTTGTCTCCCCTCGAGTCCTGGCCCAGAATCACCAGCATATGATGTGCGTGCGAGTCGATCCAGCTATCGACGGGCACCAGAACTATATGCAGGTGGAGGAGGCGGTTCTATTACCCCTTGACGATGAAGTCAACACCTACGGAAACGCATGGGCGGTGCGGAAAAGGCATGTAGAGAAGTCTGGGTTCGAAGACGCAGATCCTCTGCGAAACCGGACGTTCAAAATCGTAAATGAGGGCAAAATCAACGGAATATCTGGGAATCCCGTGGGATATAAGGTAGTCGCGCCCCCTCCGCAGCTGCTTCTCACCCATCCATCGTCCGTGGCGGCGAAGAGGGCCAAGTTTGCTCAGCACCACCTCTGGGTCTCCAAGTACCGCGATGGCGATCTCTGGGCTGGAGGGAAATGGACTACGAATTCGTATGAGGAGACTGATGGGGTCTCTAGCTATGTGACGAGGGGTGAGGGCGTGCGGGAATGAGGATCTGGTAGTCTGGGTGACTATGGGGATGACGCATATTCCTCGAGTGGAAGAATTTCCTGTCATGCCGACGGAGAAGATACGCCTCCTGTTGAAGCCAGCGGATTTCTTTTCTTGTAATCCAGCGATTGATGTGCCTACAAATGTGCAGAATCCAGCTTCCCGGCACGCTTTGGCTGATGTGACGCAGGAGTTGGATGGTGATGGCGGCTGCCACTGACATTACATCGCATTGGGTTCATATATGATATTAAATGCTAAGGGCTCTTAACATAATGGGCTAGTAGACGTTACAACGTGCTAGTCTCTTCACTTTCAATCACGACCCTCGCAAGGGAGAATGGATGCTCGCCCTCGATTTGGTGAAAATCAAGGGCCTCACATCTTTGATTTGCAAGGTCATGAGCAGCTTGTTGCGCACTCTCTGATGCAGGTGCATTCATACAGTCCAGGGCGTAATGCCCAAACTGGGCACACTTGAAGCACTGCAGTTGGGTCTTTGCATTTCCACCACGGTATCCCTGTCCATCCTGTGCCCTGGTACGTCCTTGGAATTGTGGTGCAGATGAGCCCCATTGTGCCTGACGTTGCTGCTGAACCTGATGCAATGCTTGGTACTGTGGAGGGGGAGCATAAGACTGTTGCAAAGCCTTTTCAGACGTCTCACATTGTTCATAATGCTGGACCTGGAATTGACTTAAGGAACCCTGTCCCTGAGGTCTTCCTGAGTATGGCTGGTATTCCAGCTCTTGACGCTGAGGTTGAGACATATGAGGAGGCAAGAAGCTTCCTTGATCCTGCAGGCGCGAATTGTTGCGAGAGTTCCCACGACTCTGGAAACCTTGGGACCTTTCCATTGCATATGCCATGGTTTTCATGAGTTTGCTGACACTTTTGGATTCCTCCACCGTCTCCTCATGATCAGGTTTCTTCTCAACATAAGTCGGTCCCTGCATGTCGATTACAGTATCTAAGATCTGTAGAAAGCTCATGTCCTCGCGAGACATAAGAGCCCGTAACACATTCGCAAATCCGGGATCTGTCAAATTATTAACGAAATTATCACTCAATGTCTGCTTCTGGTCGGTCGTAATCCTGGTATGGATGTCCTTGGCTCGGCCACATAATCCGCCAAATTTTGACCACGTTGGTGCAGGTTGTTCAGCTCAGCTGCCACTCCTTGCCATTGGGATCTCTTCTGACAGACTTCGTCCCATCCATATCGAGCGAGCAATAACTCTGAAACCTTCTTGAAATTAACCTTCTGGTCCTTGGACAAATTTGCCCACCACTGGGCGGGTTCTCCATCTAGCTTGCTGAATAGGTACAAGACAAGGAACTCATCCAACTCCGTTTTTTCATCAACCGACATCTTCTCAAATTGTGCTCGAGTAATCCTGTGTTTCCACGAGACTGCCTCCACGAAGGCTTGAACATCTTGAGCTGGGCCATTCGCAAACTTAGGACCTTCAGATCAGCTCAATTGATGCATTTCGCCTCTGCAATAAATGCCTGGGCATCACCTGCTGGGAACACAGCCGCTGGTGTTCCACTGATTCCAGCCATATTGATCTGATCTAGAGACAAACAACTCAGATCTTCAAGTTCTCTGTAACGCTGACTTCTAAACGATAGAAGACACAGATGTTTCTTGCGTAAGGTTGACTTGACAGAGGAGGCAGGGGATTAGACACAAAGGCTTTCCAAGTAACACGTTACAGTATTGTAAAGAATACTATATTGAGTTGAGCACGAAGCTCCTATCTAAGGAAATACTATCTACTTATATAATATCCATGATATCCAATGTTATCCATCACCTGATATTCTGTGGATCCCCGTGGATAACATGAATAACATAATATCCAAGATATCCAATGTTATCCATCACATGACATTCCGTGAATCCCCATGGATAACATGGATAACATAATATCCATGATATCCATCACATGACTTTCCGTGAATCCCCATGGATAACATGGATAACATAATATCCATGATATCCAATGTTATCCATCACGTGAGGTTGCAGCCGTAAGCGCTAGCCATAGCACTAGCACTTAGCCGTAACATTCTCGTTCCTTATGTGAATCAGACGTAAACGACCTCTCGTGCTCACGGTACCCAGTAGAATCCCAACAAGCTGCTTGGCTTGCTGAATCCTTTTCCATGAACTTCTCCTTCTGCCGCACACTGTGCACCTCCTGATGTTGCTGTTGAACACCTGCTGTGCACTTTCTGATGTCCTTCAAGACTCTGTCTCACAACTCTCACCAAATCTAACAATTCTTCAATCACTACAACCAACTGGTTGGCAGTGATCCCACTCTGAATCAACTTCTCACTCTCTTCCTTTTTGTAATGGTGGGTTGTAGCTTAGACTATTCCACAACGCAGCAATCAAGTGTATGATGTAGTGGAGTGGTTTAGACAAGTTGTACAAATGTTGAGTCCGAGAACTCAGGGATAAGTCAGAGGTTAGCACCTCACTGACTTTTCAGAAACAAGGAGTAACAAGATCAATGCTTGGAAGCTTGGAAAAGACGTGGAAGTATGTGGTAGTCGATTTACTGTATTATCTGCTTGCCCTTTCTTAAGGAAAGGGCAATCCTATTTATGCTAAAGGAGTGTAGTTCTCTCATTTTCCAAGACTTTCCATGACTAACCAGGCTTGGTAACTGTAGTCGATGTAAGAGAATCCCATAGAACCATCTCCTAGGTTCCTAGCCTATAGGAAGTGAAAGGAGGTCCAAGGTCAGAGTACCCCCATAGACAGATTATGTCATAACTTAACCAATCTTGTGGGTAACTAAGGAGCGATGACGTGTAATGAATCATAGAGGCTTGTAGCAATCGTTGAGTAGTATTGCTCTTGTTGTTGGTGTGATAAGCCAAAATATGTATAGTGACTTGTAGGTTTGAGGAGGAGATTTCTAAGTTTGCTCTTGAGTTTGATAGCAAACTGAGTGCAACGAATGTCAGTATGACACTTTTGAACCTTCGATCTTCAGTGAGCCTTCTGCAGCTTCTCTGATGTGAACACTGGCCGTAATGCTGAAAACTCCGAAAACTTCTCTCTGATTCTGATGATGATGAAGATGAAGAAGAAAAGTGCGCGACACTCGACCTTTGAGCACTTCGCTTCGCTAAATAGTGCCTTCCCAACTGTGGTCGCCTGACCATTCGCCACTCGTGATTGGTTCGAGACAGAGACTCCTGTCTACACCGCCTCCCGATCCAGCAGTCCATCTCGTGTCGCTCCTTCTAACAATTGAAGCTTTGAAATGGATTTCTGTGACAAACACACACAAACTGATTTTGTGCCCCCGATTTTCGATTGATTTTCCCAAAGATTCTGCCGTTTCACAATTCTGACATCTCCGATACTCCCGGCTTCCTTGTGGTCCGTATTCGCAGGCTCAGCATTCTGCTCCGCCCGAATACTGGTGTTCACTGCTTCCCGTAACGTGCTTGCTGCTGCGGCCAGTGTTCTGCCCTTACTAGGGCCTCTGAAAAGCTTTAATTCTTGCTGGTTAACTCCGGAATCGCTTCAAGTAGATCGTGATCCATCACCCGAAAGCCCCTACCTATCATAGTCTCGGGCAAGACCCCAAGATTGTCACGATACTAGGTAGGGGCTGTTGTATTTGTGGGCTGATGGTGATAATATTTCTAAGTTCTACTTCCGAGCACCAGCCGTAATGAGGCCATTCTCCCGAGCTAATTCTGCTGACTAAGCTAAACCTTTTACACCGCCAGTACGCCACGACTTACGTTGTCACGATTATTGCAAGGGGCTGTTATTCATGAGGCGATTATGATGATATTGTGATTCTATGTGTCCCGAAGACCGGCCATAAGAATGGCCTCTCCTAGCACGTGATGTGCTGACTAATGCTAAGTATGAAATTGCCTCACACTCACCCCCACTGGGTCCCGAATCACCATCTGAATCTTCCGAATAGCTTCAACTGACCACAATCAATGCCTCTCAAACTGTCTATCACCGAAATCCATGCTGAATAACCATGCTCTCATCCCTCCTGTATCACTCTGTCCCCATCCTTCGGAACACTAGCCATAACTCCAGCCCGTCATTCCCCCATGCCGAGCATCAATCGTAAAAGTGCATTTTCTTCAGCCAATTCAGTCATGGCGGCCTCGCGCTTGATGACTTCGTCAGAGATCTCTTGCTGCGCATGGTGAACCACTTCTTGGAGACTTGACTCCAATTCCTCAATCCGTTGATCCTTCCTCTCCGTCGCGTGGGCAACTTCGCGTTTCAAATTCTTTCGCACTAGGGCTGTTACTTGCTGCTGAGCTCGCATTCCGCGCGCTTGTTCCTCAAGAGCTTGTGCTTCTCGAGCCACCACATTTTTTCTTGCGGCGCTCAGCTTCATTGTCCCAATTTCTTTTCCGGTCAACTTCTTGAGGGCAAACTCGTTTCTTTCGTCGAGAATCGCGGCCGCTAGTCCTTGCACTTGTGAAAATTGGTTTAAAACCGGAGCGTCTGTCGTCTTTCTCACTGTGAATTTGCCTGATGCTGCATCCCGGGACTCCAGGTACTCCTTCTGTGCCCGTTGGTAGACACGTCCTTTTGAGTTATACGTGATGGGAGTAGTTCGTGGTCTTTATTGAGACCTGAGCATAGCTGTCGAATCCTGGCGTCTGACAAGATCTGTTGTCCATCCTTGTTGCACGCCTTCCGGTAGGGCCAGTATGCGGCTTTGAGCTTTCCTCGATAACTGTATGCGTACGGAGCTGCTTGGTGGCGCAGGTATCCCGCAGTCACTCCGTGAACTACACCTTTCTGCTTTGGTGGTGCTCGCATGAACTTGTTCCCGAGTTGGAGTACTTCCAAGACATCAAGTCTCTCGTTCTCCGGAATTATAGACGGGTCGATTGCAGGAAATATGAGTTCTTTCTCTGCTTGCGATGGTGCAGGTTTGTGCAGATTCTTCCTTTGGTCCTTCGGTTTCTTTGGTCCTGCAGCGATAAAATTTGAATTTTCATCGTCTAGAGCAGCAACGTGGGATTTTCCTTGATTGTCCGGCACAACTGGTCGCGTCATCTGTTTTTTTACTGCTCTGATGTCTTGGGCAGGTTTGTCAACCTCGACGATATCAGGCCATTTCCGTTTTCCCATGCGTGCCCGCACTGATACCGGTCCCGCGTCAGTCTCCAATGTTTTCTGAAATGTCCACGTCCTCTCGGCTAGAGTTGATGAAAGTGACTTGTTCGCCATGCTGAGTGACTTCGGTGCTGTGCTGACTTCACCCCTACTTTCCCCTGAACCTGGACCGATCTCCTGGTTCTCTGTGCTCACGCCGACCGCTCCCAGCTGGTGTAACGCTGACTTCTAAATGATAGAAGACACAGAGGTTTCTTGCGTAAGGTTGACTTGACAGAGGAGGCAGGGGATTAGACACAAAGGCTTTCCAAGTAACACGTTACTAGTATATAACAAATACTGTATTGAGTTGAGCACGAAGCTCCTATCTAAGGAAATACTATCTACTTATATAGTGGCATCGTGCCTCATGGGTAATCTGGATAGTTGGCGGATAGCTAGATATTCAGGATAGTTCGTGGATAGCTCAACTATCCAATATCCACTAGTTTCTGCAACTATCCATTAGCCCCGTCACATGGCAGCCTACCCCGCTTCCCACTGTGACTCACACGTCACGTTATGTGACTCACACGTCACGTTACTAGGCCCTGGCCCTGTAACCATGACATCATGTTACTAGCCGTAACACTGGGTAGACTGCGCTGCATCGCCATGTTCCACTTCTAGTGATCGCCCAGATGCCTTGACCATGGTCTTCCAAACTTTCTCCCTGAGTGCTGCCAATGAGCGCACCTGTGGTGTCATGTCGCAGCGGCCAAAGATCTCCTTAAACCTCTCTTGTTGGAGACCATTCTTCCAATGGTGTTGAAGTTCTTGCACGTAGTCGGCATCTTCCTGGTCATCAGAATGCATTTCCTGTGAAAGATTTCCCTGAAGATGGGCGGCTAATTGCAACCGATTCTCGAGTATTCCCATCCAAACCCTCATGATTTGACACTGCTGCACAAAGGAATCCATCGTAGATGTGCCCGGAGTTTCAGCTTCGATGCTAATTGAAGTGAATGCCTTTCTCTCGGCGCAGGTCATTGTAGTGATCTTCGCCCATGTGGACGACAGGTTGTTTAGCACCATGAGCATTCTTTTCGCGTGGTGCTTAATTTTGGACCGCGTGGTGGGATCGTTGGTTGTCACTGTAGACTCGTGTTCCTGGCTGAGATCGGCAGCATCCATCGTGACTGTAGCAGTGACGTTGTCGAAATGAAACAGTCGGTGGAAGACTCTCCGTGTGAAGTCGTACCAGCGAGGTTGCGAGCAAAATGCGAGCGAGGTTGTTGCAAGAGAACAGTTGCAAGGATGAGGTTGTGCACCGTGTAAGAAACCCTGGCTTCAACCGAGGTTGTAACCAGCAGATCCGAGTGTTCCAATCCGTGTTGTTGTGAATCCGTTGAAACTTTGATGATGTAGGTGATTGGCAGGTCAAAACGCAAACTGCATCGAACAATGGTCACTTTACCAGTCGCTGGAACTGCAGCACTGAGGTTGTGTCGTGAGCCTGTGTTTGTTGTTGTTGGTGGTGGATTGGGGTTGTCTGGTGCGCTTCAACTTGATCTGAGACTCGACAATTTCGATTCCCTCACATCCGTTGCACACTTCTCAAGATTACTGATTCCTTCATCTTTTCCTTTCTTCTCTGACACTTGTCTGCTATCACCCGACTGACACTCCTCCATCACCCTCTCGTCCTTCTCACTATTCTCAACATCACGATGGATGTTACTCTGATTCTTCTACATACACCACTCACCCGACACTCCCACCAAACCAGCGGATATCATCCGCTATCATATCTTTGACAACAATACTCTGCGACAAAAAGAAAAGAAAGAAATACATACACCAATGAGGCACCGAAGTGCCTTCACTGCCTAAACGCCCTATGGCTCGTCTTCCGCACTTGCGCACATGGCACACGCTTCTTTTGTTAAATACAGGTGATAATAATATACACATTTGAGACCTGCTCACATACACATCATTCCCCACAAACTGCACTGCAGCTACTCCTTCGACATTTCCTCACCCGACACTTCTCCTATACATTCCCATGATTCCTCACCGAATCCCAGGGCACACTGCACCATGTGGTGCTCACAAATGTTTCAAGTCCAACTGCCGGCCCTGCCAGTAGTTGGGATCATCCTCCATAGCAGTGTCGGCAGGATAATGGACGAACTCTCCCCACCACGGTGGATCATGCTGTGGCTGGTATTCCTCTGGGGCCTCAACAGGGTCGTGGAATGGAATTCCCATTTCCCGTTGGATGGCAGCACGTCGACGAATCTCCTGATCTGCTAATTTCTGTTTGCGTTGGACTCGGAGCCGATTGTCCTCATTCCGTGCCATTATGTCTTGCCAAGGCTCATCCCGGGTCCCATGTTGTTCGCGAATAACAAACGGTTTCAAGTCATTCACATGGAATTTCCCCTTGATTATTCCAGAATGTATTTCCTGAATAAATGCCGACTTATTTTCGGGTGTCAGCTTGGAGATCCTGAAAGGTCCGAGCCATCTTGGTTCGATCTTGTGAGAGTGATTGTTGTCCTGAGCAAGGCGGCGGAGAAGGACGAGATCGCCCTTCTTCATTTTGAGCTTGCGCTCAAGTTCGGATTTCGAAGCCTCCCCTTGTTGCAGTTGACGGCGCAATCGAATAGCATTGGCAGTGTCTCGCATCTCATCAATCTTGGCTAAACGGATAGCAACGGCAGACACATTTGGAGTTTCATCGAAACGAGGGACAAAATCAGGTCGAGAAATGACCTCTCTCTGGATAGCTTGATCAACAGCAATGTCTTCTGGCGTGAAGCGAGGCTGGAAACCAAAGAGCAATTCTGCGGGAGAAAATCCATGAACAGACACTTGCTTGGTATTTAGGACGTTAAAGACGTGCGGTAACAGCTCGTCCCATTGCTCGAGTAGGCTTGGTTGAGTCTGTAAAATTTTCCGGAACACGGACAAGATTAACTGAACAAATTGCTCCGAGAGTCCTACTGATGCGGGATGGGACCGAGGGGCATGCACCATCCGAATGCCCTCGCTGTCACAGTACTGGCGCACAGCGGGCGACGTAAAATGGGATCCATTATCCGTGTAGAGTGTAAGTGGAGAACCAAACGGGGTCACAATGCGTCGGTCAAGAAAACGTATGGTGGACGCGGAGTCAGCTGCTGCGGTCGGGTCTCCCAGCGCGTACCTGGACTGATAGTCCACACCAATGATTATGTACCGGTTACCATTCCTAGAGACTGGGAAAATGGGACCAATGTAGTCCATACCGAGCATATCCCACGGCATAAGCTCGAAGATCGGGGTAATTCCCTCAGACGGCCTCAGAGGGCCCACCATTTGACACATTGGACAAGAGCAACAATATTGTTCAATGTCGTGCATGCGGGTCGGCCAGTAGGCTTTGCCGACAACTTCTTTGCGAAGGATACCAGAAGCAAAATGCCCATGTACGTTGTGGAGAACTCGGAGTTCAGTTTCTATGCCGTTCTCTTGAATGCACCTGGACTTCGCGCCATTCTTCTCAACATAGATGAGGCGAGGTCCCTCGGGAGAGTCCCAAAGGATGAACCTTATGGCAAGTCTTCGGAGGTGGCGCCGCTGAGATGGATTCAGCTCGCAATAAAGAGGGAATGCATTCAAAGCCTTGTACTTCACCACATCTCCATACCAAGGATCATCAACCCAGGCTTCCCAGCCTTTAAGAATGTCCTGAGCGCCCAACGTGGTGGGATCAAGGGGGGCATATTGGGGCAGCCACTTCGGTTGTGGTCGGACTTCCGCAGCCAGTACAGGGAGATCAACTTCCTCGTCAGACCCATATTCAACATCAAAGAATGATAAGCGACTGTTGACAGATTCCCTGGGGGACATGGCGACTTTGTTGTATCTGCTCAGGCCATCGGCCACTGCCATCTCGCGACCGGGAACATGGACATATTCAATGTCGAACCTCGACAGAAAGAACTGCCACCGCGCAATTCTCCCGTGCGGATCATCAGATTTCAAGACAGTTAGGAGCGCGGAATGATCAGTGTAAACACGGATCGGGAATTTGGAACCTTGCAAAAGCCAGCTCGCTTCCTCAACGCATTTGAATACCGCGAAACCCTCGCGTTCTGTTGTGTGCCAGCGTGACTGGGCCTCAGTGAGTTGGTATGAGAGAAACATTACTACACACTCCTTGGAGTCGACAATTTGATAGAGCACCCCGCCTAAACCGGTCTTACTGGCATCAGTCGCCAAATGATATTGGAGATCTTCATTACCAGCGATCACACATGTCTGACACACAGCATCTTTCAACGCCTTGAAGATGAGCGCATGCTCCGTGGTCCAGTTCAATGCAATAGGAACTCGCTTGCGGACAGTCTTCCCTGCCTTATCTTTGATAAGGTCTAGGTGCACCTTCTCATAAGGGATCTGTGACCGTGGTGTAGATCTTCGGGAGATCCTTTTTGTAGCATGGGTAAGGCGGCAGACTTTGCAGTTAGTGTCATATGAATCCATGTCTGTGATAATAACCCCTTGGGTCTTCTCTTGGAGCTTCCTTATTGCGTTTTGATTAAGGTGGCCCATTCGATTATGCCACTCCTTTGCAGTGCCTGTTAGGTCTTTGTGAGGTCTGTACAAGGATAGAATAGCATCTTGGTGCACTTGAGTCGTTGATAGGGCTGTGTTTTGAAGGACTTTTGTATTGTCATTCTTAATATATTCAAGGACCCATTGTCCATGGATAACTGGAGTGTTGCAGAATGGCTTTCCTTCGTACGTGAGTCCTTCTGTAGCTGTATTCCAATGGACTCCCTTTTGGATGAATCATTTTAAGGATGCAACAGAGGTGTGGAATGAGGAAACGAGGGCTGTTTCTTGGAGTGTTATGGTTCGTACAGACTTTGTGTCCTTTCCAACCTGGACTTTGATGTCCACGGACCTGAACCCTTCAATCCTTACTCTCTGGTCTCCAGCTAAGAGGTAGTTTCCATCCTCACATTCCTTTAGGTTGTAGAACCTCGTACGGTCATTACAGACATGAATTGTAGCTCCAGAATCAAGGATTGTGCTCCTTGCAAGCTCATAGGTTGAGAGGGTAAGACCTTGAGTGACTTGGAAGGCTGTTGCAAAGGAAACAGGTAGATCCTGGTTCATACGGGTTTGTCCTCCGTTCACCTTGTCCTGGTCTATTGCCCTTTGAATGCAGTATTGAAAGCCTGGCTTTTCACTTATGTAGGCATCAACTTTAGCTTCAATGTCTCGGTTTGGCTTCCATGACTTCGTACGCTTCGACTTCATGACATATAAGCAGTCCCTCCACTTATGGATAGAGCCACAAGGGCAATCTGTTCGGGGCTCCTTGTTCTTCTTCCCGTTATTCCAACCCTGTTGTCCTTGTTGTAGGTTGTTCATACGGTTCTGAAGGGTAGCAGATGTCTCATTATTGCCTTCTTGTGTTGCGAAAACTCCATGTTCCCCCCGAGACTTCTGGTCATATTTTACCTGTCTCTGGTTGATTCGATAAGTCCATACGACCTCCTCAAACTCATATTCCTTTGTCCCTTTGTTGAGTTTGAATGTCCATGGGCCTCAAAATTCGCAGGGTCCTATTGCTTTGAGGAAGTAATATATCGCATCGTGAGGGTCAATAACCTCTGGTGCTTGGAGCGTACTGCCTTGTGTGTAGAGGGTCTCCCATTTTAGGAGCCACTCTTCAAGGCCTACTCCTCTTTGTATTTTGGATGCTTTTGCCCACTCACTCCTCCATTCCTCAAGCCTAGCTCGTGTAGTTGGTGCAAACCGCTCCTTAAGCCTTACTAGCATTTCGTATGGAGTATCACCAATTGTATGTGTATGGTAGGAAGTCCCGTCTAATAGTTTCTTGGATCTTAGACCGTAGCCCCTGAATTGCTTCCTCCTGTTTCTCCCATATTTTTCGATCATATTGGAAGTCCGCTTGTAGGTTTCGAAGCTCTTCCTTCTGGTCGTCTGTGAGATATCCGTACGTAATTGGTACGATTGGTTGAGAGGCTTTGATTGATGGTTGGGCTGTCTGACTTGATGTTGCTCTTGTTGACACCCGTGGAGTAGTCTGAGGGACCACACCACTACCGGCCTGAGCTGCAGTCTGTACGAAAGTTAGGAACTGGCCTAACAGGTGGTACAAGGATAGG